CATGGATAAGAAAAGAGTTGACAAAAATATGAAAAGAGAAAATTTGAGTGTTTTTATGCATTTTTTATGGCGTGTGTGATTACAGTGCATGAAGAAATTTCAGCAAGGCAGCGAGAAGGCAGACGAGGTATAAAAACCTCCAAGCAAGCATTTCCCACAGTTGGAAGCGATTATTAAACCAGCAGGAACCGTCTTTACTGCTCCACCACTTGGCCTCTGCTTTGTTTACGAAGGTAGAGCTGAGAGGCAGCCACGCCTGTACTAGCTATGCATAATGTGAATGTGAGCAAGTCCAACTAAGACCTGCTCCGGCCTCAGTCTTGAATCAAGATGATTTATTACATATGCAGGTATTTATAATTGATGGTCCCATGGGTGCTTAGTGTGACACCGACTTACAGAAGAGAAAGAGGGCACGTTTAAAAATAGTCAGGACACCTACCATCATCTCATCCATTATTAAACACAGCCCGGAGATCTGATCTGATCCATTATGCCACTCCACACACTGTGGGCTAAAGCTGAATTAATAGGCTGCTATGACATAACTGCCAAGTGTGGGGATGAAGATTAAGACTGAATAATGGATTTTGTTCCACCAGGAAGAGGAGTATCTTCAATTTGAGAATATTTATATGCAATCTACTGTCCTTCATTTACTTCTTTTAAAACTTAAAAAAAACAGTAACAGCATCACACTGCAGTCCAACCTTCGTCTGGCTGGGTGAAATCTGAGTGGTTGAGGAAATTCTTTGATGTCCAGTACTCTATATATGTTTGCGTTTGCCATACCAGCATGTCAGTCTCTGCGTCAATGGGCAGGGGAAGCAGCTGCACCATAAATACTTGGTCATAAATAGAGTGGCAGCAGAAGTTTATTTTACACAGCTGTACTATTAAAGGAACATAATGGGACCTAGATGCATACCTTGTGGTCCACCTTAAAGGTGCAGAGTAGTTTATGCTACCTTAAAGTACAGTTAGTTTAAGGGGACTCATTTATTTTCATGTCATAGGTAGAGTTGTATCAGGATTCTCTCATTTTGGGCATGGAGGCTGCAAATGTATAACATATAAAACCTGTGTATCAAACTGGAGGTTTGAGGCCTGATAGGTGTGTTTTCCAAAGGTAAGAGTGGTCCATACAAATATGGTTGCATTACAAGATACTCAGGTCTCCATGTTTTTTTTCAAGACTTTGACTGTTGTATCTTGGCTCCTGCTACTTCTACTTTGGCCATTAATTTTTATTATCTTTTTTACATTTTTTATCATGTTTAAATTTTCCCCCAAATGAAAACTTAAACCTGACTCTGTTAGTTTAGCTTAGCAATACACTACTTTCTGGAGTCATTGCCACATAGTGTTTTTGCACAGAACAAAAATACAAGATATAACCAGTAAATTAGTGAGCATTAGGGGTTTGTAGACATTTTTTGTTTAAGTTTAGACAAAGGTGACAACCTTTTCTGCAAGAACGCAAATAAGCATATTAATCAGAGGGTCCAGTTTTTTCTTTAAGTTTTTCGGGCAGCTTAGCCTGACTGAGCACAGCTGGTCAATGAGGTTGATGAGATTCTTGCAAAACTAGCAACTCCTTCTGGTTGGTCCATGTACACCATCTCCTGTCCACACACTACATTGCCAAGACTTGGACTTTGACGGCAACAAAAATGAAAAACTCAAATTTGAAAAAAATGAGAAAACACCTGTTCAAATGATAGGTAAAGTGTTGCTCTTAGAACAAGCATGTTACATTACACAACAAAATGTAGGTACTCCTACTACTCCACTTTTTTTCCTAACTGTACTGTGAGGCAATGATGCACAGTATGCATGTGTAACATGATGACGCAGGCCCAACCCCATTACAAACTCATTAGCACTATGATGATGTCATGGTCACTGATCAAGGCCTGGACCACTGAGCTCCTCCTATCATGACACCATTGACAAATAAAATTTACTCTTTGATGGCTTCATTATAAGATCAGTAGGCCACTGGGACCATGGAGAAAAACATAATTGATAGCAAAATCCATTAGTTGAAGAAAAGTGGCATATATTGATCAGTATTATGCAACAAGACACAGTCACAGGGTAAGTCAGGTCAGAGCTCTGGATCAGTCCCTTAGGATACAGATGCTGCAAGAGGTAGACTGGAGCACAATCAATGCAGTCTGCAGACAATGAACTTCATCCAGGACTTGTGAGAGAACAATATAACCTGATTTAACAAAGACTGCAACATAAGGTAAATGTCATCCTCATTATAGGCAAAAGCAAGGCAGTATAAACATCCTGTAATACAGAAACAACTATAGACACGCTGTATCTTTGGTCATTTCTACTTTTGGCATTACTCAGTGGTTTCTGTCAAGCAGATCTGGTTGCAAGGTGCACCTGGGGGGTCAGATGACAGGATGAACTAAAGAAGTGTGCATGGGTTCAGCCGACTTTCTTGTCGCTTTGTATTGGTGGTGTATATTTCAGTTACCTGGCAACCTTTTTGAGAAAGTTGCAACAAAAGACGCCCTGCAGATGCAGAAATAAGGAATTTGCTGCAGCAAATGTCAGAGAAACTAAAAAAATCATCAGAATAAACAATAATAATACTGTCAAATATTGCTATAGGTTGGGGAGGGTTTTAACTAAAGAGACATAATACCCTTGCAAGCCTCTAACAGACAGGGCAGTGTGTGTTTATGTGCATTCAATTTTCTTGTGTGAGAGCATATCTCTTACCACTAACACTGAAGTCCTGACAGCCTCAGACACGCTCTGCCTCAGCTCTGCAGCAGTGCCCGGTTTGTTGAGCCCCCTGGTGAACTTTCTCGCCTCAGGTGGAGCAGAAGCCATCCTGTAGTTCTCCTTTCATCTGACAACCAGACACTGAGAAGGAGCACACTATTTGAAGGCTGTTCCAGGCACGAAGGATGAAATCCTGCGTTCATGGATGTCCGACGTGCGTAAATTGCACAGTGACGCAGTTTTATCCCACCATTCCCTTAAACTTTACATCAGCTCCGGAAGTAACAGCAACCCAGGAGACCTGAAGATGAGTTCACTGGTCAACAGGAAAGGGAGACCAACATCCAAAGGCTGCTCCGCTCCAGTCTGTCCCGTCAGCTGCAGCGGAGTTCCCTTGCGCGAACTGACACGCCCCCACCTCTTGGGTGTACCGTAATTATGCCCAGCGGGCCAGCACTGTATTCTCACTCAGCCATCTATTTGGAGGCTTAACGCAGCTCCCAAATTGTGCTACTTGAATAAAATGGCTGCATTCTTTGTAATGTATCTATGGGACACTCGACATTGTCTTGAAAGTATCCAAACGCCACTTTTTAGGGACCTTCTATCTGCGTTTCCACTATACTTGCTTCCAAGACAGATTCAAACTATATACATATCAGAGTCCCACAAGAAGCTTTGAAAGCAATAAAAAAACGTAATTATAATGTATTTTAGCAGCACTAAGTAGTATTCTGAGGTTATATAACTTCAGCCCGCACACAGTACAGCCATAAACACGGGCAAACGTCGCCACCTGCTGGAATAATTTTGTATTTTCCATGAGGTAACTGCTGAGGGCTTTAAACTCTTCATAAAGTTATCTGACCACACAGAGGCAGTAAGTAACATCGGTAGTTCAATAATTATTGGCGCATTCAATGACAATCGGACATTTTATATTTCAGAAGATCATCGAAAAAAATATGTAAATGAGGTGACATCTATGGGAGATTTTCATAACAAATAACATATATCATAGATTTATTATTTCGTTTTCTCAAATAACCCGCATTGGTTAATTGATTTGCAATAATGAGCTCTTTCTTCGCGCATAAAGAGATTTGAAGGACGTAAGAATATCGACCAAGCATTTTTCTCGAGTTTTTTCATGAAACTACAAATATCTTCAGATGCTGCATTCAGATTTCTTCTCCTACTTTATAATACATGCTCAAATTGAGTAAATCTTAGCAGTGTTTACTTTACAGCAGCAACGTGACGAATTTCATTGAGACCCTGAATGTAGCATATGTTTGCAGAGTGTTGTATCCATAGTCTGCGGCACAGCGGCGCTGCATCACCCCTCATGCCTGTGTAGGATTGTCCTCCACCCCCAACACCAACCCACAGCAACCTGATACCGGAGACGAGCGGTCCAGACAAGCCTGCAAACGAGGCGTTCCCAGCCGCCCTGTCTGTCTGTCTGCACAGCGAAGCTTCAAGCCAAACAGCGACGATCAGCCCAAGAGACATCCATCCCCTCAACCCCGTCGTCTTCTTGCACAGGAGTAATGATCTCATTCTACAGAAAACCGAAAAAAAATCACTGTAGACGCCGTTGACTTTTGAAAAATTTCCCCTTACACTGGAGATCGCGAAATGCAACGGGACGCGGAGAAGTAACTAGTTAGCTCTGATGCTAACGTTGGTTAGCGTCGTTAGCAGTCACCTCGCAACCTAAACGAGTCAATTTGCTACGTTTTAAAAGACACATTTCTGCCAGTTTTCTTGGGAAAGTGGGTGCTATTACCAAGTTTACAATTGATGAAGCTTTGTAGTAACGCCGATTAGTTGCATGTTGCTAATTTCTGCGGAATTTACCATCTTTGCCCAAGTTTTCCAGCACCAGACAGTCTCCCTGGACAGCTAGCATGTTAGCTAGCAGATATGGACGCTGTTTGCGGGCTGCTTGTACATGGCTGATCCGCCTAACAAGTTAGTCGATCGGTTTATGTTTCGGGCTGATGCTGGAGTCGGTAGCGGGACTAACTTAACTTTGACAGTCAGTGGTAGTTATTTAATCACGACATAACAGCGTCTCCTTTTCGCACCGTGTCTCGATGTTCTCCATGACTGAGAGGTCGGTTCAAGTTATTGAGCTGACGTGAGGATAAAGAGGGTGAAAAACAAGTTCAAAAAGAAAAACAAGAGAAGAACAAGAAGTATAACAAGACTTGGCGGAGCTCCAGTTTACGAGACCAAAGCCGATGCACAGTGTCATGGCTGTGGGCCGAATCACGATGAAATCACTCGCTAAATTTGGGTTTTGCCTGACGATTCTTCTGACTTCTGTGGCTGGTAAGTGCTTTTAAAAGGGATTGATTTTTTTTGGGATAAGACGGAAAATGTGCTTCTTATAAATATTTGATGCTTTTTGTTTTGGTTTACCCCTCTGTAGAGCCAGTTTGTTGCAAGCGTTGCTCAAAAATGCAAGCTGAATCATGCTTTTTGGTCATCTTGATTCTTGATCATATTTCTGGGATTATTTAGTCATTTTAACACGGATAATCTGCTTCACAGACAGACTAAATCAGACATTTTACTAAATCACCACATCGCCCTGGTGTGTTTTCCTGTCTGGCACATCAGCCAGTCTGTCTATCCCTAATCTATCTTTTCCATCTTCCTGTCTCCCTGGCTCATCTTTTAGCCCATCTCACTGTAGTCAAGCAAACCTTCACAGATACCTCCTTCTGAAGCGAGCAGCAAATGCACCCCTGGCTCCATTTAATCATTCTGTGTACAAAGGCCTGGAAAAACACTGCCAAACATACCGCAGTCCCTGTCTGCCAAGTTGTGCCCCCTGTACAAGACTTTTGGGCTGAAGCCAGGCTTCTGTGAGACCTTGAGCATGATAAGATAGTAGCTGGGATGCACAGAGATGGAGGAACGCTGCATGAGAGAAGGGGCGAGAGATAGGAATGTGTGGGAAGACAGGAAAGGTATCTTTAAAGATCTGTAATTTAGGTGAATTGTTGTTGGACAATCTGTGCTGTGTGTGTGTGTGAGAGACAATGTGTGTATAAACAGATTCTTAATAACAATGCTTTACCATTTTGTGTGTGTGTGTTCTTCTTGAGGGTATTATCAGAAGCTGAGAATAATAAGTGCTGTTGCAGAGGTAAGGATGTAAGCGTAATTTGAAATATAGTGTGTGAATGTGTTCATTACCTTAAACTGGTCGTGCAGAGAGACTCTGCCCCCATTTGCATTTAACTGACAATTGGTAGTCTGAGTGTTTTGTAATTCAGATATAATTGAACGCGAGGACAGTAAGTGCAATTTCTGCAAAGCACAGACATCTTCTGAATATTCATAACAACCATACTTAAACGAATAGGTAGAGAGGACATCTTGTTGCTTTAGCTTCATATTAGCAACGGCAGAGTTAATAGATTATGTTAAAAAAAGATAGGGATGATTCAGCAGGCAGAGCAGGACATGGAGCGTTTTCTGAAGCGATGAGTTGTCATGTTGTGACGTGGGAACAGTAGGGGTTATTGGGGGTAGAAAAAGAGTCTTAATATTCGCCCAAATGTTAAACTGAAATTCATCATTCCATGCACGCGCTGAAAGACTTCTCATCACTCGGAAATATTACTGCCCTGATAAGATCACCTTTATGAGACCTGACATGCAAATTATTATTCCCCTAGAGCAGTTTAACGGCTTCACCAACTGTCAGAGGATTGACAGATTCACTCAATAATCAGTACAAGGACGATTAATGGATACTTATATGCAAGTGTGCCATGTAAACAGCCAATAAATTGAAATTGTGTTGTTAATTAGGGCAGCAGTCAGTATGTTGGTATAATGGCTGTAAAGAGAAGAGAGATTAACCGCTTGCTCTGTCTGAGCTGCTGTTCGCTTTACGAATGGGAAAAAAGATCCCCCAGTGCATGTTTCAAAGGATGATATACTTGTAATGATGATGATGGGAGGAAGCAAAAGGCTTTATCAGCAGGGGAGTGTGTTAGTCATCTATTTGACCCAACACCTTTCCCTTTACTCCCCTTTGTCTCACTTCAGCTTCCCATCATCCCTTCCCTCAAACTCGCTTAATACGTCTTCTAATTTCTTTTTCACATTCATTTGTTTCCACCTGTTTGCAGCTGAGCTCAGGTCGTTTCTCTGAGTCTTTTCCCTTGTGACTAATCAGTGTGTGGGTGTGTGTGCCGGCTGCTCTGAAATCTGGACAAGAAAGAAACGGTCCCAAACACTTGCTACCTGCGGGGTGACCGCAGGTGTTCTTTAGTAGCGAGCAAGATTTGGAAGATTTTAGCTCAAATTCTTCTCAAGTTAAGTCCAACTTGTATCACACGCGTGCTCATAATGTATGCAACAACCCACATTCAGGCCCCCTTTTTTAAAGTTGTCAAAGGTAAGCCAGAGGTTTGAGGGGTCCCAAAGAGGATTAGTACACAAGTATTATACTAAAGCATAAAAAATGGGCTGCATATTTGCTCCGCTTGTCCAAACTCTGAAGCTGTGTCTCGTGGGCTGCATACTGTGGTGTTGACAGGGCCCACTGTTCCCCAACAGGCCCGCGTCGCTCCAGCCTCCTGGGCCGACGGGGGACTCTTGAAGCTGTCGGCTCTGCGGTCACATCAGCAGCTCAACTGAAAGTGAAGTTATTGGCTGAAGATTATAGTCTTGCGCTAAACCGCTGCTAGTATGTTAACTCAAATTTGCGCCGAAAAATATAATGAACCAGGTACAGACATAATGGTGCGTTCCATTTGATCCTGCAAGTCGGAAATTTAGAGTTGCCGGTCTGAGGCTTCAATTGCATTATGGGTAATCTAAGCACCATGTTCTGGCGAGAAACAGTAATTCTATAGAATAAAGATGTTATCTGCATTTTCCTGCATCTTTTTTATCCTCTAAGTCCTAAAATCATTGTTATGGCAGTGAAATGTTAAATTAGTGGATAAATAAATTGAGGCAGTTACTGTTAAGTATCAGAAAGTATTGAAACAATTTAATTTGGCTGATTCAGGTGTGTTTTGTTAAGAGTTTTAATGTCCATTGTACTGTCTAAAACCCAGATACTGTAAGAAAGCAGCACGATAATAAGAAAATATTGAGAAAATGAACCAAAATGTTGAATAAAAACCTCTGACGTCAGTTTTTGTACCGCAATTAATAATACAGATTATGCTGAGAACCCAGGGGCCATTTTACTAAACTGCATCCCCAGTTACTACAAGCTATTGTGCTGAATTTGCATTACGTTCTGCAACACTCTGGAAGTAAACACAAGGACAATAAATTGGTTAAAGTGGCTTGTAAAATGTTAAAATCGTCTGTAATGCTGAAACGCAACCAGTGAGTTGGAGCAAAAATAGATGTGATATAATGATGTGTACTTATTCCAAGCCAACAAGTTGGCTTCAGTGATTGTATAACTAGAGCAATGCAATTTAGGAGGAAAAAAGAAGTTAGTTGCTGAAGTTGAAAGATGTAAAAGCACTGCGTCTGCTTTGATTCCATAATATTTAGCACTTAGTCAACATCCTTATTTTGTGAGAAGAGATGACACTGACTGCGGCTAGAACAGACCAATGAATGCTGGACTGGAAGAGGGGTGCTGAGAGGCCATTTGGGCTCTAATACAGCTAACCTTGTACTCTATTAGATGAAGAGAAAAATCAATGTCTCTCCCTCTTAGTACCTTGGTGCTCGTTTTGAGCAGAGGTAAAAGCAAAAAGAGAGATACAATAGAACAGTGTTCAGCCGACCTTCTGGTTTGGCAAAAAGGAGAAATTAGTGGATGTTTTAGAAAACAAAAGGTGCAGCCTTGAGATGGTAACTCAGAGTGACAGCCTATGATTAACACCAGCAGACCATCAGAGACAATAAGTCTAGAGCGCGCAAAAAATGTTGCTCAGAGTATGGATGAACAGTTTTGGTCCGGATGGTTTGTGTTTTCTTTAATAGAAGGGCACTTCACAACTGCAGGGCTTTAAGGTGATATTGATCTTGTATTTATTTTCTCTAGCTGGGATGTCACATCTGTGGGTATTGCTCTGTCTTGTTGTATTCTCCTTTATTCTGTGTTGCACTGGTAGCTGGTTTTATAATAAAGATATTAAGTTAAATATCACATAAAACATAAAATGATCACATTTCGTTTGCTATAACTTGAAAATATAAGGTATTTTTGACTTCAAATAAAATAAATATCACCAGATTTGTTTCTGGCTTACTTATTCTGGAATATCCTTTTGAAATTGTTGCAATTTTAACAGACACGGAAAGTACCACTCAGCTCTCACAGAACAGGTGAAAACACTGCCATACCAGACAACCACAGCCTTAAGGGATAAGGCTGGAGTGGGTGGATGTATAGGATTAATTAGCCTGTCAAGCTAGTATGTAGCCTTTAAAACCTGTAATAGCTGTTCTTTTCTTCGACAATGAAAATATGTGGTTATAAACAAAGACTAGATTCAGACACAGCCTGAATCTGAATTTTTGCTTGTTCATAAATAATCTGAGATTATACCCCCCATGGAGTGATGGCAAACACCACTTTGGTCATCTGTGTTTTCATCACATATTTGGGAAAGTAAAGGTATAAAAGAAAGGGAGGGAGGTAAGGGGGGTGAATTTTGGTATAAATTCATTGTGGTCAATAATGGAGGCCTCTAAGCTTTGAGGGTAGCATAAGCTCCAGGATTAGCATAACTGTACCAGACACAGACAGACACAGACTGAGCACTGGTGTTTTTTTTTTTTTTTGGGGGGGGGGCAGTCCCGAGGCAACAGATGGGACAGATTAAAGCCCACCACCAACCAACCAACCCCCCCCCTTCTTCTTTGCCCACCCGACATCTTTAAACTCAAGCTGGGGACTTGGAAAATTGGGGGTGTCAGCTAAATACCCCCTGAAAGCCCATGCATCCTACCTCAGCAACAAGCATACACCCAAACAGCAGCAGTATTTGGTATGATCACAGGGGACATGTGTCTCTGATGGCTGTCAGTGGGTCGTAGCTTGAGCTTTTGCGACAATGAAAATACAGTGCATGTGGACATGAATTTAAAAAAATATATATATATTTTTTTGCATCAGCCACGCATGATAGCACATGGAGAGACCCTGTCTGCTTCACACAGCAGCAAAAACAAACTAAGAGCTAAGGACCGTGTACTAGACTCTAGTATTTGCCATTGCAGAAACCCTTCTAAAAACAAAATATACATATAGTTGATAAAGAGTCAATGTTTAACATTACACTCTCTGCTAGCACAGGAGATCTGTTGTTTGTTAACCTACCAGGATGATGAGGCAGTACGGAGGCCCATACCAATACTACAATAAATGTACACATTTTCAATACAGAATCAGAAAAAGGCTCTCCATGGCAGCCAGTAACGTGTCATTTCTCTCCATGAAACCCCCAGCAAGAGAGCACAGCTTGAATACTTCAGTAGATGCGGACAGGGCACGAATGTCTGCAGAGATAGAGGTAGAGAGGTGTGTGCACTAGTGTATCGAGCACGTTTTAGTCTTTAGTCAAGTGTGCTTTTCTTTCCTTCTTCCCTCTATTTATTAAATGTGACCAGTTGTGGAGAGAAAACAGTCACCACATGAGAGGCACTTGGTGACTTTTAATCAAGTCTCAGACTGCCGTGTCTTACATCTCTCCAATGGGCCTTGGCAGAAAGGAAGGAGAGAGCCAGATTAGATCGCTGTTGTTTTTTAGCAGAGAGGCTGAGGGGACAGGGGTAGTCCGGGAGTCGGGAGGGGGTGGGAGGGTGCACCGAAGGCCAATTGGGGGAGGAGGGGGGAGAGATTAGCAAATAACTGGGCCATGGGTAAACACTGAGCAGTGCTGGGGATTCATCCAATGAGCAGGCTTGGAGCAGGAAAACTACTCCGAAGCCTTTTGATATGACTACCCTCTCTCTCTTTCACTCCCCCTCTCTCTTTCTCTCATCTGACTCGCTCCAGTGGCCTTGCCTGCATACTCTGACCCACAATCCAATACTGCAGTGGAAAGCCAAGATCACACAGCAAGCTCCACAGAGCAGAACCAGGGACAGAGTCTGCCATGGCCAATCAGAGATACACTCGGAGATTGGCATCCAACCAGAAACACTCAGAAGAAAGACAGAATTCAGTCAGGGAACCAACCGCATCCTAGCAGAGCTGCAGACAAACCAATGAAAATGTGTCTTCACGAATGCCCCCATGGCTCAGACTGCAAATGAGCAAAATCTTCTTTGGTTTGAGCTCCAATAAATGCTACACATAGTTGCTTCTCTATCCCTTATTTTTGTATGCTCAGCAGCTTAATCTAATAAATGTATTTTAAATTCATGAGAAACTCAGGATGAGAAGCAGCTGCTATGTGATCTATCTACAAAGTCACAGTGCTTTTTGGCTTTGTGTAAGTGCAACAAAAGCACAATGAAATAACATTCACAATCACAAGTTAAAAAATCTTGTGACTGAAAACCCAAAATCAATTTCTAGATAGAATTCCAACCTTTTATCTGCTTTTTCATGCCCCTGAGCTTTCTTAGACCAGGCATCATTATGGGAGTTTCGTTTCAGAGCCTTGAATTATAGTAAAAATGTTAATAATTAATGTTAGAGGCATACAGTATCTACCCAGCTTTGGGAGAAAGATAGAAGATACTCTGCTCTATGGATTTTTCTGTTCCCAATTCTTGCGTACAAGGTCAGTATGTTTGTTTGACTGTCTTTGGGTGTTGTCACCACGGAGGCACTTCCTACTGTTGTTCCTTAGTGTTTCTACTCTTTTCCCCAGAGTTTCTTTTCTGCAACTCGTGTCTTACCGCCAACGCCCACTCCCTTCGATTTCTGGAATTAGAACGGGAGCACTTTCAAGGCAGAAAAGATTATTGTTGAATCTGTTATTTCAATTAGCCTTTGGCCCAGATATTTCGATTTTTTTACCGTCAAGGGAAAGCCTTACTGATTCTTCACCACAATGTCATGTGCATTTTTAAAAACCCAAACTTTTGTGTTAAATCTATTGACCTTATGGTGGTGACAGATGGTTTATTCCTGCTACCTTGTATCAAAAGGAACTAGGTGGTTTAAAATACAATAAAGTCAAATTTCATTCACATTTCTTGGTCATATCCCAAACAATAGATCTTTGATTTCAGAAAGAAAAGAAGAAAAAAAAGAAAGATGCTCCTGCATGCGCTCCAGGCTAAAATGGTAACTGTTTCCAACAGACTTTTCATATCTTTAGCTAGCAAGAGAGCTATAGTTAGCTTGTTTCTGAATTGATGTTTAGTGTCTCCAGCTGACTTGTTTGACAACAATGATCACATGAAATAGGTCTTGAATATGCACTTCATGGCTACATACATGATATCAGGCTAATACATTTTGGACTAAAGGAACATAAACATCACTGGGTTACTACTGTTGGAATAAAGCTAGTAAACTAGACTTGTGAGGTTTGTATCTTATTTTACAGCCCTTAATGTGCAGTTTATGTCTGCAAACATTATAGCATGTTAGCAGACTGAGGCTAAAGGTGAATTAAATAATTTGGAATTAAATGGAAAGGGAGCTAGTTAGCTAGGTGAGCCTGTTGCTGATGTTTGTAAGTTGCGTTACAGTTGAGTAAAGCAGAGTTAATTACATTCTTGAAGTTGTTTCTTTGAAACACTTGTCTGCACTTTTCTATTGTATTTATATATCTGTGCTTTTTTATAACGATATTTGAAATACTTGGTGTTTTCAGTCACAGAAAATAAAGAGAGCACATAAAAGCTGCCTCTGGGTTAGATAAGCCTACATTCTGCTAAAGTAATTAAGCAAAAGAGAAATGGAACTTTATACTGGAGGTGTTTGTTTGGCATTGAAATGGAAATTTAATTTAATTAAATAAAATAAAACGAAATGACTTTTTGTATCTGCAATTTTTTCATTTGGAACTTATCAGTTGACAGAGTCCAAAAGATGAGAGGTCGATCTCTCATCAGAGCCCTCAAAAGAAAAGTGGTCAGATATGAATGAATGTCTGCCCATTATGTTTAGCCTTGAATGTTTCGGTTTAATGGTAGGGCTGGTGAAAAATCATAGCACTTATCTGCTCAGAGGTTTAACGCTTGTTAAGTGCAAGTACAATTTGGTGGCCATTTTAACCCGGAGCTTCTTAATGCTGAAAAAAAACTGCCATTCTGCTGCTAACCCTGCCAGGGCCATTGTCAGCTCATTAAAATTCAGTTTCCTCATCAAAATGAAAATTCCTCCACATGTTTAACCCTTGGTTTGAACTCCTTTCCCACTCTGCATCTACACAGCATGCATCCCCTGCATGCAAAGCTGGTCCCACTGAACAGTAGGCAGGAAAGGCCCACAGGTTGAGGGCAGCCGAGGCCCACGGTAGGCCAGCGTTGATAGCTTTATCTGCAGATAGGAGCAGAGGAGGAAAGTTGGCGCTGTGCCCAGGAGCACTACCACTCCATCGCGTCAGCCTCTGCCCACACAGGCTAGTTTGACCTTGGGCAGGGCACAGTCACCCTCCTCCCTCCCTTCATAACAAACCCCCCCCCCCCCTTCGTCTCTCCCCTGGCTAGAGGAAAGGGAGGAGTTGGGAGTAAGGGAAACAAACTGGCACATCATGTTTCTCTTATCTGAAATCATCCACAAAGCAGGCGGACCACACAATCACACTGGCTCAAACTATTTCTCTCTGGCGTCCAATCTACAAGCAACTGGGAACATATTCTGGCTTTTCTTTTCTCTCAAAAAACACAATTTGACACTGACTAAAGTTCAACTGAACATAAAGCAGAAGAAAACTTTGGCCATGGGCTATAAATCAGTTTATGAAGTAAAACGTGGGTCTTTAAGGTCTTGTGTTGAGCTACCATCTCTTATTTTCTGACATTTAATTTACTCTTCTCATGGGTATCCTGCAGTTTTTGTGTTTTTAATAAGGATTGTTTCAAGCACTAATGTCTGCTTTTCCTTATGCGCCTCTGCATGTTTTTGTGTTATGTCCTCCAGGCTAGAGTTTAAATTGGTTTTTCTATTGATCTTTGGCTTGTGAGAGGCATCAGTCTTTGCAGGCAGACAGCTTTTTTCAGATGTGGATTATTCTTCCTGTGTAGACAGATGCAGTATCCATTTATCTCTGTAGCCTTTGTAGCAGACAAGAAGTGTCTGTATATGTATGGATTTTTATAAATATATATAATGAACACACATTTTTTTGTAAGAGGGGTTGGTGTGAGTGATTTTCATGTACAGAAGACATGCAAGACATCTAAAATGCACATATTAGAATGATTGTGTGTTGGTAGAAAGAGAATAATCGATACAGAGATGCAATGAAATGACTAAATAATAAATTAATGAAGCTGTTGAGCTGTTTGTTTCCGTCTTTCTCCTCCCCACACATCCTCATTAATGCACACACAGAAACTGTCATCATTTTAGTTTTATGTGCATGCCTCTGTTCATCAAACTATCTTATTCACTTTGTTGCCACTGCAAAGCACAGCCCCATTTTGCTAGAAATGGGATTCGACTTAGCCTCATTTTGCTAGAAATGGGATTTGATTCAGCCCCATTTCCTCTGTCTTTTCACAGCGGCACAGGGGGAGGAGCGGGAGTGTGCCTTCACGGACCAGCAGCAGCAGTGGGAGGTGGAGCGAGTGGCAGGGGGCGAAGGCCGGGTCTCCCCAGAGAACACCAGCATCCGATGTGCCAAGGGCAGCCACTGTTTTGGCCTGTGGGAGAAAAGTCCTCCAGGCGAAGTGCGACTTGTCAAACAAGGTACAACCTGAGAGACACTGTACTATTTGTACAGATAGACAAATTCCACAAATATCTTCATAATAGACACCTTGAGATTCCCCGGTGACGCAGTCCCCCTTTGAAGTTAGATAATGTAGCACCTCAAGAGTTAACACTGATGCCACAAGTGACAATGGTTAGAGCAGCGTAAATACCAGCAGTATAAATGCCTTTTGTACTGACTTGAATGTGTGATTTTGTGTTGATGAATAACCAGCCTTTGTACTCATCACATCCTTAAGGGAAAACTAGCTTTTTTGGCAGTAATTCCAAACAACTATATGGCTTCCACGGGAAACTGCTCTGAAGAGCTGATTATGATAATATATCATGTGAAAACAACAACAGTTTGGTTTGTGCAGACGATGTAAGGTCAGTCAACGTCAGCAATTTGATTATATTGTACACTGGAAATTCCCCAAGGGAGAACAACTATTTGGGCATGATGCCGGGCTTCAGTTTAGGTGAGGATACATTTTGTATCACATTGGACTCAGAGTAGTAGTTAGTATTAGCCAACGCATAAGTTCAGGATTCAGATCTTGATATAAGAAAGAAAAATGTTCCCAGTACTGCTCTTTTTATGGGATTCAGGTAAATATTAGAACAAAATGCAACAGTGTCAAACACTGAAACAGTTGCAACGTCAGCAAACCTTCATTGGAATGTGCGTTTTACAGTTATCTCCATCTGAAGTGACCCAGCATTAAGAAAACATAATCCAGAGTAGGTAAGGCCATAACAGCAAAACTCTTGGCTGTATTGATGGGTGCAATGTTGTGTTGAATTACTTCTGAACACTACTTTATGTTTTGTAAAAGGAACAATCTGTTTCAGCTTACAAAAACATGACATGGGCTGATAAGTGAGGGACTTCTCTCCCTGTTTTCCTCACCATCTCATCATTCAACCATTTCCCTCCTCCATGTCAGGTTGCTGGACTCACCTGGGTGACCATCAGGGTTGCCGCGATGACCGCTGCGTGGTGACAAACCTGCCTCCACAGATCCAGAATGGGACGTACCACTTCTGCTGCTGTGGCAGCGACATGTGCAACATGAATTTCACAGAGGACTTCCTTCTGCCCAGCCCGACAACAGCACAACCAATCTGTAAGCACACAAAAGCACAATGTATTTAAGTCTTCACACAATATGAAGACTTATATGTATATGTATAAATAGTGGGTGTTTTTCATTGTGAGTTTTGTCATTTCGAAAAATCCATCCTCATGATACTCTTCTTTTCATAAAAGCAAATCATACATTTAGATTCAATACTAGATTTGAGCCTTCGCTAGTACTCTATGGTTTAGTGTTTGACTGTTGTATGCTGTTAAATCTCTGTGATAATCTCCAAGAAGAATTGTTCTGTAGCAGAACGTCTGTGGGATTTCTCTGACTTGAAAAATACTTTGAATTTGGTTTGAATTATCACTTTCTAATAGTTACATTCACTTAGGAGACCTATTTGACCTGTCTAGTTCCAAAGGGAACAAACTTTTCTGCCAAGGTTACAGGCATCTCTTATTCAACCGAGTGCATAAGGCAAAAGGGGAATGAATGAGAAGATGAATAACAAAGCAAAGAACAGCAGAAAATAACATATAATAATAATAAATGCAGGCCCACACAGTTGTGAAGCACAAAGCTATTAACGGCAAAGAATGAAAGGATGTTTGATATATCAGAACTGTTGCACCTACACCTACTTGTAGATATTTTCTCTCTCTTCCTCCTCTGCTTCATCATTCCACACATGGTTTCAAAACTGAGCTTCCTTTGCCTTCCATTATGAACCTTGACAACTGTGAATTGCAAAGATGAATTGGTTCACCAACATATACGCTGTGTCCTCACTCTGGCTGGTATAGATTATATGCACTAAAGCGCCGTGAAAGTGGCTGATATTGAATTCTGTTTCAATGATGGTCCGTTGGGGGATTTTGTAAAGCTGCTTGTGTGTTCTTAGTAAGGTGTTAAACAAAGCAAACAGATGTATTGTTATTTGTTCCTTCCTCTAATACACTAGCTGTGAATGAAAGCAATGTGTGTGGAAGGAGGAGCAGGGGGAGGGGAACCAGGGGGGATGGCAGTGGCGGCGGTGGCTCATCATCTCTCCTGCCCACACATAAACACAAACATACACTCTCCACCATCCATGTCGTCTCTCTGCATTCCATGGATTACAAGGCGTCTGCTCTATCTGTCTGTCTGCGGGCGTGCCGGTGACTGTTGCACCGTGTAGACAGATGACGAGACAAAAGCAGTAGCAAGCCCAGAAAAATAATGATTTAGTGTTAGAAGGGTTTTTTGATTGATCAGTGCAGCTTAAGTTTGGCTTGTATTATAACTTGAAATCCTGTTTCTGTTTTTAGCTGGATGGTTCTGACATGTCTGGGCAGATTAATGCCAGGGCTGTAGGAAGTAGGAAATGGTTTGTGTCAGTTGGCTGTCTGAGTAATCTCCAGCCAAGAAGCATAGATGAAGACATGCGAGTGGCAAGGTGGCAGAAGTTATACTCGGATCTTTTACTGAGACACAGGTAGTGTTTGCACAATGTCATAAATATTAGTAATCTAAAATGTTACACAAGCACACCCGTTTCTGTATAAAGATATTCTATAAGAAAAAAAGTAAAAGTATAAATAATGCTGGATTACAAATTATTATCATCAGACGGTAATGATAAACCTTTATGAAACACAACTATATTGAAACACTTAAAAGTAGTGTTTAATAAAACTAGTTCATTTTGACTGAGTACCCTTGTCCAAAGCAATACAATACTGAATATCTTGTAAAATGAATCAAAAATCTGTGGCACACTGAAAATAACTTTACTGTCTATTATTGAGAGCTAACACTGCGTTTCGCCTGTAGCTTCCTCAGTCTCGCCCAGCACTGAATATCTTGTATTTATAAACATCATCAGCAAAGTAAACTATGGGTTGTAATTTTAAAGATGCCCTGGGGCTTTTCAGTTAACAAACAAAAGTTGTGTTTTCATTCAACATTTCCCACTGATACATATTGTGTATCCTCAAGGTCTAATAAACACGCCAACGTTTTTCCTTCCTCATAAAATAGGTTTAAAAACGATTGTAAATGGTTGAAGCAAACAAAAACAAAAGGGGGCCCACTATAATTAAAACTGCTGCTTGTAATCTCCAAAGAGTACGTTTAATTTCTTTATACTCGATTGAGTACTTCTATGTTAAGGCATGCCTTAAATCTATAAAATGTTAAACGGTGAACTTTTTTAATAACAACATTAATCGGCAACTATCTTGTCAAATGATTAGCTTGTCTAGTCCTGTTTTTCCAGCTTAAGTTGACTAATTATAAGAAAAGTTTGAATTCATTGACTCTAAAAGCAAAGATAAAGTTTCTCACTATAGAATGTGTCATATTCTATGTATCTTAACTTAATACGTAATGTAGCGGGGAACTTTAGCTGAAGGACAAAATACTTAAAAGTTCAACATCATCTTTGAAATGCAAAATGAATGAAAAGCTAAGCAATATTCTGAATATATAAGAGAAGATCTTATTCGTATTATAAAAGCACTGCAGGCCGGATTTTTGATATCGTGGAGTTTAAGCAGCTTCTTCATGTATGTTTACTTGTGAAAGCATGTGTGTCTGTGTTTGTCAGATAGCTTCCTGTGCAGCACCCTTGTTGATTATGAACCCACTGACCCTGGCATTCGCAGGAAGCTGTGTCAACCCCCATGCCTTTTTATGTTTAAGTGTGCCAGAGTGTGTGAGCATGCATGTTCATGCTAGTATGTCAGTCAAAGAAGCCCTAAGGCTCTTGAAGCCATCAATTATTGATAAAGAAGGTGAAGGTCTCGCGGCAGCAGCCGTGTGTTGACTGATGTAAGGGATGCAGGAGTTGTTGTTATTGTGTGTTTTCAAGCTGCTGACCTGGACTCTTATACTATTTCTATAGAGTATAGACTAGTGGTATATAGGAGAATCTAGTGCTGTTATACTTAAGCTGTGAGTGTGTTTTGTCTCCAGAGTAGCTCTTATAGCTGATGCAGCTTCATTAATCACAAACAGCAGACAGAAACTGCAGCTTCCTCGGCTAACTGCTCCTACCTGCCATCTGACCAGCGCTCTCTCTGTTTTTACATAGTTTCTTTCTCTCTTGCTCTCTCCATTCACTTCCCACACAACCTCTGTCTCTCTTCTCATTCACTGCTTTTTCCAGTCTGTTGACCATGCTTCATGGTTGTTTGGCTTAATTGATGTTTTTTTTCCCCCTCCCCTCCTGTTCTTTCACGCGCTTCACAGCATGCCTGATTGTTTTCGCATACACACATACGTGCACACCCAAGACATTTCAATGTTTGTGTGTAAGTTAGCCATTGTTGTGTGCAATTATTGATGTGGAAGGAAAACAACAAACATACTGTGCGCCCACTTGCCAGTCCATTCAAAGTCTTGTTCTTGAGTTGTTAAAAATGGCGGCTAAATCTCATGACTACTTCTAGTTTAGCAGTTGTGTGAACGGTGCTAAATATGCAGAAATAATTATCGCCGACAGAAGGCACAATGTTTTCAATATAACGATGTATAAAACTGAACTACCCAATGTGTGTTGTACGGAAGAAGTGCAGAATGGTGGAACTTGTTAAAGGGCCTGTGTCCTGTTACAAAACACACCAAATTAATCAAGTTTCTTAGGCATCCTGGTATGGTGTGTGTGTATTATCCCAGGTTCTGTTGCAGTAAAGAGTAACCAGAGCTGAAAGATTTTTCTATAACTCACAGAACAAGGTCAACAGTAGCTGGTTCCAGCCACTTAAACACAATTTTCCTTTTTTCATATTGCATGCACAGATTCTCAAAAGAAGGACTAAACAATGAATCAATCAATAATAAAAAGTAAGATATTAATTGTTCAGGAAAATAGCTTAGTTATTGTATGTGGCCCATATAAACAGAATGTGCTGCTGAATGTGTCTCAATTTCTTCGTGAAATCATTTTAATATATATTTTTATTATAATCATGGTATCTCCGTTTACTCAAAGTGTCTCTCTGCATAAGCTCATTATCTTTATGAACAACTATAGACAGAGGCATCAACACAAAGCTGTGTTTCCTATCTTTTCTTCCATATTGCATCAGAATGCACAGGTACACCTCGTAAACTACATACTCAGGATGTCAGCTGTGGCCTTCCTCTGACTTCTTGCTCACAAATCAAAGTCTCAGTGCACGACTGCAGACACTTGCTCTTCCCACATAAAGGTTACACTCTAATTTGTACTTTTTGTTTTTGATGTCCCCTCCCCCCCCCTCCCCTTGTAGACTCTCACACACTGGGCTACGAAGAGACGGTAATTATCACCCTGGCAACAGTCTCCATGCTGGCCGTCCTCGCTGTCGCAGCCTTCTTTGGTTACCGCAAGATGCACGGTGAGTTACCATGGCGCCACGCCGTGACGAAGAGCCGAGAACATTTATTGTTCAAGGCCATTCTTATGTTTTTGGTTGGGTTTCAATTCATTTAGTGAAAATGGATAGAAGGAAGATCTTTGTGGTAAATACATCTGCATGTTCTGAAATGTTTCTGAGAGGTATGTGTGTGTGTGTTAACAGGAGATGGTAAGCTGGGTCTGCACAACCTGAATATGATGGAGGCTGCTGGATCTGAGAGCTCCCTGGACCTCGACAATCTCAAACTGCTGGAGGTCAGTGCCCACAGACGTCCATCTGTTCACTGTTGTACTAAACAGTCATCTGCTCATCAGTTGACTCAATGTTTTTTTGGCTCAAGAAAGAGCTGAAGTATTTACAAAGTGCCAGACCAATGCTGTAGTACTTTCAGGAACTAAGTGAGCCAATAGATCCAGCTGTGGTTGTAAATAGTTTATGGAAATTACACAAATCAACAGCTAGTAGCTCTACTGCCATGAATGCACAGTGGTGTATAGGGTTAGTTCTTCCTGAAAACAGTGGTGATGTGTACAAACCATTGCATCAAAAAATCAATCCCTCTCAACAGGATGACTCACTACATCTGTCATACCCAAAATCCTGCAGCTTTCCACTGCCTGTTTCTAGAGGATGAAAGCTTGTATCATTGGTTTAGACATGTTGTGCTCATGCAGACTTCAATATCGCTACTAACAGCTAGTGTGTGTGTGTGTGTGTTTGTATTTTTGTGTGTGAAGTAAGGAAGGGAACAAGAGTAAGATAAAGAAAAGGAGAAACCAAAGGCACAGAGGTCAAAATAAACCCAAAATACATCAAGGTTTATAGTTACGTTTGTCATTTCAATGTGACCTTTATCAATGCATTAAGTGACAGGTCAGGATGCACAAAAATAGGATTTGCTTACACTGACACGAGATCCTGAACACCTGATATGGATGTAGCGAAGCTCAGATTGTGATGGGAAGTCAATAGAATCTGGATGATATTCATCCACAATATATAAGAAGGATGAAGGGATTACAAAGGCAGGGAGGAGAAAATGAACACAGCGACTGATTTGAATTGACTGAGGAAGACGGTGCCATGACAGACCTAACTTATAGAATACAACTCAGCTTTCGGGAAAACTTTGCTATCTCTGAATTTTTGCTCTTCGGCGTATTTTGAATTGAAAGGATATTTCCAAAGCATTCAATAATCCATCAGCACCTTTCACAATATGTTAGGCAACAATGTAAAAAAAAAAAAAACAGCCTTTTTTTTTTTTTTTTTATCCCTTGGCCCTGTTTTCATAATTTTTCCCATCCAGACTATGTTGCACTCACAACCTCTGTTTTAGATTCAGTCCAACATCATACATGAGAGCAAGCAGTGCAAGCCTGAAAAAGCTTTCAATATTACCTAATTGAGTCCATTTTCAACTATTACTTATACTCAGAAAGCAATTCATAACAGAGATATAAAAGGATTTCCATTTTAGCTTTCCAACTAAGATTGTGGGTTTTTTTGTATTTCCTTTTTGTACAATGCACCAAAACAAGCAACGTGTTGTGCCTCTCAAGTGCACTTCAAGTCTCTTCAGGAAATTATTGCTGGTAACTGGCTTGTAGGCAAAAAGTCAGAGAAAAATATCACTGGGGTACGCTGAAAAAAAAAAACAGCCTGCAGTTTCATTAATGAGACATGATTTCTTGTATATTGTCTTCCGATTCAAACAGAGTGGTAATGTCTCTTCTACCTGAAATGTTAGCCATCTTAGACAAGTTGTACTCTTCAACAAGACAGAAAAACAGCCAGCCAATCAAAAGAGAACACATACACAGCTCTTTGGTTCCAATCTTTTGACATCGATTCAGTGTGTTTCAGACCAGAGTGAGGCAGTGATATCTTTTCAGGCAGGAGTTGAATTCAGAATGCTGTCCTTGTGTCTTATCTAATGCAGGCACACGTTCTTTCACATCAGGCTAGTTGCGGGAGGGGGGGGGGCTGTGGGGGTGCAGGCAGTGAGCCTTACTCACAGACAAAACAGTCCAGCGCCTTCACAGTATGTTTTATAGCTGGAGATAAATGTGTTCAGCAGACATGGAGGTGGAAACCACACAGAAACAAATGCACTCCTCTTTTTCGTTTCATGACTTTTAAAGCAGAATGTTTGGACCTTAGTGGCATGCTGTGCTCCGGCTAATTCAGGACACTAATTGAATGATTTGGAAATGACTTAAGGCCATTTTAGCTGTTTGACCCTTCTGTTTGCCTGTTATTTAGCTTGTTTCCTATCTCCCTGCTTCCTGCCTCACTGTCTTTTTATAGATATCTTTCTGTTTCTTTGCTTTTCATTATTTCCCTGACATTTCAAAGCAGTATACAAACGGCATCTTTCTGTTTTATAAGACAAGCCGGGGCTAGAGATCCATAATAATATATTTTTTCAAACGTATTTATCTGTAATATATTATAAATCTTCATTTTTGTCATTTTCAGCTGATAGGGCGGGGCAGATACGGCACCGTCTACTGTGGCTCTCTGGACGAGAGGCCCGTGGCTGTGAAGGTGTTCTCCGCTACTAACCGACAGAACTTCCTTAATGAATGCTCCATCTACCGGCTACCGCTGCTGGAGCATGACAACATTGCACGGTTTGTGGCGGCAGACGAGCGGACAGGCCCAGAGGGGCGCACCGAGTACCTGATGGTCATGGACTACTACCCTCATGTGAGTAGGGGGGGAATGTATGTAGAATAAATAAATGTAATTTTAGGGAGAGTAAAAGAAAAAAAAAACACCTCTCATACTGATTGATTTGGCAAAATGTGGTAGCCATGGTAACAGCAGTTTAATACTAAAGGTCCCCTAATTCCGTGTCTGTTTACAGTGCAGTAAAAAAGAACTCATTATGTGTCATCAACCATGGCTGTTACTTCTTCCTCCATGCCTGCCCGCAAATTTAAAACTGATCCACAGACAAAAAATGACCACGTCTTTTTAGGGGGGGGGATTGCTTTGAAATCAAAGGCGTATGTGTATGGTATTCTTTTGAATCCCATACTATTGTGAGGGCAACTTAGATTTAGGACAGAAATGGCCAACACTGTAAAAAATATTATATGGAGAGGTAATTACAGTATAAATATTTTTATGGAATGTCAATTGAAGGTTTTGCTTTATAGACATCTTGCAGGTTAAAACTTTATTAGTACTAATGCGTCACGTTGTCCTAATTAATCAAACTTTATCTTATTTGGCATTTAACTAATCGTCTAATCTTTTCATTACTTAAAATGATGCAGTTGAACTTGAGAGAGGGCGGGCTCATTCTCAAGTGAGGGCTGTGAGAGGGCTTGGTGGGTTTGCCCGGGGTGTGGATTCTGAGGGTCGTACTGGGTAAAGTCAACTTATAATGAAAAATCATCTTTTCACTAGCCTCAGCTCTTCTTTGCAGACAAATGAACATGCAGCTGATGCAGCAAAATAAAACTTTGACAGAGACTGCTGAAGGTTGCCTCGAGGAACTCCATGATATTAATGTGAATGTTCCTTAAAACACCATCAGCCTCATATTTCAAGTCAGCTGACACCTAGCCAGCCTATGAACGGAGCCCATTGTGCATCATCACCATTAATCTCATACACTCTGTCATGGAAACGTAGTTCAAGCCAGGACAGGAAGCTGAAATGGATAATGCTTTCTAGTAAATGATAATATCATTTATTGAAAATGAACAGTTCTAATGTAATTTTCTTGGAAGCGGAAGCGTGAATTGCTTTATGATTGATTCTGATGAGAAAACATTCAGTGTATGTGCCTTTGTGAGTGTGTGTTTGTTTTTGCGCCGGGGCCAGGCTTGTAATGGATTATGAAGGTTGATAGAGATAATTGAGGAAGGAAATTAATAACGTCAACTATAATTGCTAGTAAACATATTAGTGGAATTGCTTGTTGTCCTCATAAGACTTCATCATTTTTACACCACATTTTTAGACCAGAATGGCATATTGATGTCCTTCTGCAAAACCCCATAACTCCCAGACTTCAGGGCTGTTATTGGGTGGTGATAAAATATTCTAAAAGTCAGTTTTATTGTGAAGCTCTGCTCCTCCTACAGGGAGGTCAAAGCACAAAGTCAGCATTGTTTAAAGCCCCAAGATATAAATATGAAGATAAGCGTTTTGCTTTACGTAAGTCTTGACCTTTTGGGGGTTTTATGGATGGTCGATGTGCCATGTAATTTAACTTTTGAATATCAAAATCAGATTTTCCCCTGAGTATCAATATTGATATTAGTCATGATAATAAAATGTAGTACTAGCAGTTTGAGAAGTATCCTGATAATGACAGCCTGAAGCCTGAAACAGACTACAATAAAGAAGATAAAAAATAAAGTTACACAACTTGCTATAAAGGGTTAAATGTCAGAGCTTTAAAGTGATGCTGATTTTGTCCATCTCCTCCTCTGTCTGTTTCCATCCCCCTCTCTCTCTCTCTCTCTCTCTCCCTCTCTATCTCTCTATCTCTCTGCACCCTCTCTCCTTGCCTGTCTCCTTTACCTTCCCTCCTCCTCAGGGCTCTTTAAATCGCTACCTGAGTGTCCAGACCAATGACTGGGTCGGCAGCTGTCGGCTGGCTCACTCTGTCACCCGCGGCCTGGCGTACCTGCACACTGAGCTCTTTAAAGGAGGTGAGCTTGAGGGCACACAAACAAACACAGACACACACACACACACACTCTCACAGCTAATTACATAACTGCTCACAGTTTACTGAGGCTCAACTTTCAAGGCTGCTACTTCCATCTGTTTCCGAGACATAAACACAGAATTCTGGAGGAAAATGGGAAAACTTGAATGTGTGAAACCAAGTTGGTTAATATTTAAGTTTCAGAAAGTTTGTGATTATTTTCAGCTTCAAATGACCCATACACTGTAGCACCACGTGGGTCTGTTTGGCTTGGAGCGCTTTGCATCCCTGCATTCTGACACACACGTATGCACACTGCGTGCACGCCCAGCCATGAGTATTTATAGACTGGCCTCTAGCTAGCCTCAGAGAATGAAAAAAAGGAGAGAGGGACAAAGTCAGGGGGGAAGGAAGGAAGGAAGGCGTAGGAAAGATAGGGATTCAGATGACATGTGACTATCCCTGTGGCTCAATAAAATCCGTCTTCAGAGGCCGATGTGACAGCCTGAGCCTGAGTGGCTGCACTCTTTTCTCTTTATCAGCACAGATACACATCAAACGGGCTTAGAAGTTCACATGCAGTGAAAGAATAGAAGTTTTCTGTTTGCACAACACGTGATATAAAGAAGCGGGGGTGTCTTTCTCCCCTCTGTAAGCCTGAAGTGATGGGCAGAGCGTTGAAGTGACAGAAGAGAAAGAGAGTTTAGTCGCTAACGGCAGAGTCTCTCAGGCTTTGATACAGTCCCCATCCTCCCCCACTCCTGCACATCAACAACAATCAGCAGATCTCTGTGGTGGCTGCCACAACTTCCTGGGTCCCTCTGCCTCACTGCCCCCTCTTCTGGACAGTATCATACTGCAGGAAAATGCTCCTCTGATATGGTCTTAATCCCATTGTTGTAGATTAGATTAGAGGGTTTAGCTGTCTGTTGACAGTGAAGCTTGCTCTGGTGAACAAAGAGTAATGAGGGGGAATGGTGAGCTATATGAAGGGATTTTCTGGATGTTATCACTCATTAGCAAATGGCACAAAAAGTGTGTGTGTACATTGTATCTAGGAGGCAGAGAATTTTGGGAGTGCTGTACAGGCTTGAATTTGTAATAAAAGGTAAATTAGCCCAGTTCTTTGCTCTTTTGTCTTCTTCTGATCCTCTCTTTCCTCTTTCTACCTCCTTACAGACTTGTACAAGCCTGCAGTTTCCCACAGGGATCTGAACAGCCGCAACGTTCTCGTCAAGAATGACGGCACGTGTGTCATCATCGATTTTGGCCTCTCCATGAAACTGACAGGAAACAGGCCAGCACGTCATGGCGAGGAGGAAAATGCTGCTATAAGTGAGGTCAGTGTTCAAGAAGAAGCAGGGCTGATATCAGAGCAATACTATATATATATATATATATAAATATTTAATAATATGTGGATTAAAACTCCACTTAAATGCCTTCTATTATCTCAGTCCATCTGCAGGATGTTATGCAGCTACATCATTTTAACAAAGATTAGCAGACTGCTACATCTGAAACAACCCAAACCCAATTTGTTGTCAAGCAGTTATTGCTCCGGGGAGAAGTCGCATGCTAGCTTTCCTCTTGTTAGTACAATCTTTTGACGTAATCACAATACACAGCACTGTTGTGACTATTTGAACATGGATATTTTCAGGTACCGAAACAACAGTATGTCTGGCACATTGCTTTGTACAAAACATAAAGACACTTCATACATTACCCAGGTTTGAGATACAACTTCAGCAATAGCAAATTGAGGACTTTTTATCTGCATCATGACAACTGAAGCAAAGTCTGTCTTCTTTTCTGCATATTATTTAATATTTTAATTGTTTATATACTGCACAGCCATGATTTGTGAAACTTAAAATGCCAACGCCTGAATTGAACCCATGCTGCACATTCTTAAAGTTGTGTGTACTTAATGTATAGGGGTAAATTTGTTGCACCATCTGGTATTGGACTGCAGCATGTGTGAATGATTATGATTGGTTAGAGATTCTTTAAGTTGTTTTCTGTACTTTTTTCTGCTCGTTTCCAACAAAAAAGTGGGAGATTACAATTTTCAGTGGAAATGCAGTGTCTGACTTTAGAACATCATTTATTTTCTCAGATTTTTTCTTCTGTGCTATTTCCTGTCTCACCTCATCTTTCACTGCCTGCCTCGATTACCAGGTGGGGACGATCCGCTACATGGCTCCTGAGGTTCTGGAAGGAGCGGTGAACCTGAGGGACTGCGAGTCGGCTCTGAAGCAGGTGGATATGTACGCACTGGGCCTGATCTACTGGGAGACCTTTATGAGATGTACCGACCTTTTCCCTGGTGAGTTTCACAGAAGGAAGACATTTTGAGTTTTATGATAAAATGATGCAATTTTTGGTTGCAGTACTTTAATTTGCATTACCAGCATTACCATATAAAACAAAGAATATATATATATATATATATATATATATATATATATCATAGTAAGAAGCAAGGACAGAGATCAGTGCTTTTATTATTAAGCACATTGATCAGCTTAATGGTTCAAAGTCTCATCCTTCCTCTTCCTGTCCTACCTCTAGGAGAGTCTGTGCCAGAGTACCAGATGGCCTTTCAGGCGGAGGCAGGGAACCACCCGACGTTTGAGGACATGCAGGTCCTGGTATCCAGGGAGAAGCAACGGCCCAAATTCCCCGAGGCCTGGAAGGAGAACAGTTTGGTATGTTTGTTTGTGTCATAACAGAGCCAAAAATGTAATTATAACTCCATCATAACAGGATGAGCAACATCAGCAGATTGTGAAACATGTCACAAGAATTAAAGTTAATTTCAATTACCTAAGATTGCTATCTGTTTAATAAAAATAAAAAAAACTCCAGTGTTGTCAGTATACGTCTTTCAGGGGGGGATATTTTTAGTGACAGAGCATCTGCAGCAGCTCGTCTGGCAGGAAAATAGAAGAACAGCATGTGCTACACGTCCAAAAGCAGATATTGTTTTCGTTCATTGCCTCAGGTTAAGAGTCTCTGGTATTTCCAGTCTTTTTGCCACATTAATAAAAAATTCATTTCACCAATCTGTTTTGTGACAGGCTTTAAGTAGCCTATCCCAATTTAGCAACGCATCATCCACTCTTTATACATAAAAGAGTCCAACTAGTACATTAGTCTAGCGATATTATCAGGCTGATAATTGATTTCCAAATTTATATGGATAATGGCATACCTGTTTTCCAATATGCAGCGATATAAAAAGCTGTCTTTCATAAAAAGTATACTACAGGAAGCAACATTTCATCAAGTGATTTCAGTGTAAAAGGCATGTTTGCGTTGTGTTTATATTGTTTCCCAGGCCCATATTACTCACTATAAACTTGTCTCATACAGGCGGTTCGCTCTTTGAAAGAGACGATGGAGGACTGTTGGGACCAGGATGCAGAAGCCCGTCTCACAGCACAGTGTGCCGAGGAGCGACTGGCAGAGCTGCTCCTCATATGGGACCGCTCCAAGTCCGTGAGCCCGACACTAAACCCCATGTCCACGACACTGCACAACGAGAGGTAGGCATTAACATAATGGAGGCCATTTTCCACTGATGTTACACTTACATGTGTACTTTTAGAGAGTGTAACACTCTCTAAAAGTACAATTTTACTGTGTAAAATGGTACATTAGAAAATGTGTAAAATAATTCAAAAATTCTGTTACGCTATGTGAAATGTTTTTTCGTTCTAGTCTTGCAAATAATACTTTTTTACTTATGTGGTAGGTAGTAGGGTTAGCAATGTGAGGATTTGCTGCTACATTGGCTGTTGTTTTAGCTTATCAAGTATGTCATTACACATTAAATAAGGGCCCAATGCCGCTCCAGATTTAATTGTTAGTAGTTGATCAAGCACCTCGTGATTTGTCAAATTCCCATGTTTCTACAACTTTCTCTCATTTTTTTCTCTGTTCCAGAAATCGTATGACGCCAAAGTCTGGCCCGTACACGGACCATCCCTCCACCTACATTGAAGAGCACGAGGGTGTGGCAAAGAATTTGCAGGCTGACACCACCGGCTCTGTGAGCGGGCGAGCTGGGGGTGGGACAGGAGAGAGAAACAGGAACTCCATCAACCAGGAGCGCCAGCAGCAGCAAGCCAACGCCCGCCTGCCCAGCCCTGAGGGCAGCAGCACCAGCATGGGCCTGAGAGGCAGCCCCTCAGCCTCCACTACAACCACCACTATTATCTCTGAGTCAGAGGGTCCTGTAGGGGTCGCCACGGTCCCAGTCTGCCTCCACCTGACCCAGGAAGACCTGGAAACCACCAAGCTCGACCCGAAAGAGGTGGACAAGAACCTGAAGGAGAGCTCAGACGAGAACCTAATGGAGCACTCACAGAAGCAGTTCTGCTCTCCAGATCCACTGAGTCCAGGCAGCTCCAGCCTCCTGTATCCCCTCATCAAGATGGCCACCGAGGCTACAGGCGCTTCTGACCCAGCCGCTGCCATGCCCACCACCATCTTCCCCCTGCCCAAGCAGCAGAACCTGCCCAAGAGGCCGTCCAGTCTCCCCCTGCGCACAAAGCCCCCCAAGAAGGAGTCGTCTTCGTCTTCTCTCAGGTTCAAGTTTGGACGCTCGGGGAAGTCCAACCTGCGGCAGGTGGAGGGACAAAAGATGAACATTGGTGTGGCAGCAAGCACAAACACAGCTGTTGAGGCTCATCGGAGTAATGGCACAAACAACACACCAATTTTACGAGACACGCATGTGAATGGCAGCGTAAATGGCACTGTTAATGGTCACGCTGGAGCTGGGATCTCGTCCATGACATCGGGTGGAGCCACAGGTTTTGGGGGATCAAGCATAACTCAGAACGGATCTGTAGCCCTGAGGTCAGACGACGGCCGTTTGAGCCTCGGTGTAATCACAGCCAGCCCCGATGAACACGAGCCGCTCCTGAGCCGCGAGCGAGAGCAGCCTGATCCAAGAGACACGTCGGCGAGTGTCGCTGCGCTCCGCTCAGCCCGGCCCAACACCAACAACAACAACAGCAACACCGGCCACGGCCAGGGAGACGGGGAGAGCGGAGGGGAGAGTGATGGAGGAGAGGAGGGAGGCAGCGGGGAGGGAGGAAGCAGGGAAACAACAGGACCCCCGGGAGAAAGCTCGGGGACAGGATCTGGCAGCGCTGACCCTCAGGGGGATGCTCCGGTCACAATGAGGGGGGAGGCTCTGCTCAGGCAGCCCAGAGCCCGCAGGCCTGAGAGACCCAACTCCTTGGACCTGTCCTTCACCACACAGGATCTGACATCACTAGGTGACTCTTTACACCCACCCCTCACACAACTCAAGTTTCTGCCCAGGACTAAATCTTAAGGCATCAATTATTAAATCCTAATACATTATTATTATTTTTTGAATAAATCACCAACTAACTATGCAGACTTATAAGGTTTTCGCACTCATTTTACTCTTAAAGATCAGTTCACAACTTAATTCTAGAGCGTTGATGTATTAATACGCCATGGATATAGCCATGGTAACAATATTTTCATTCAATGTATTGCAACAAAAACTTCCACTACAACCATAAAAACATTTTCCCTTTAGGCTTCCATTATATATACAAATGGAATTGTTAATAGGACACCTAGAACTGAAAATAATTAACTTTGACTCTTTATATTGTGAATATTTTAGAGATGCTGAACTTTCTTATAGCGGAACAAAACTTATTTTAAACCATCTACAGCCTCAGTTTTACACAGGACCCTAAAAATAAAGGGTTCATCCAAGAAATATATTTTTACACCTTCAGTCTGGTGTCAAGGTCTGTAAAATACATCCATGTTTTTGAGGAATTCAGTTTAAACTAAATTAGAATTTGCAAGCGAGGGATGGTCTGCTGAAATTGTATTGGCTGCAGCATGGGAAATGCAGGATGCAGTGTTTTTTTAAGAATGACAAGTATCTGAAAAAAGTTAGATTTTAAATATAAGTATTGCAAAACGCATGTTGAAGCCCCCCAAACTATGAAATTGTAATATCAAATAGCTTCAGTTCCCAAATAATAAAATTGTAACCTAGGTGTACTGTTCTAAAAACATCCCCAAGGATACTGATCATCATTCCTTGTTTTTCAGGTGAGGGCTTGGTTCAGCCAGACGGAGCCTTCGGGACAGGTGAAAAAATCAAGAAGCGCGTCAAAACGCCTTATTCCCTGAAGAAGTGGCGGCCCAGCACATGGGTCATCACAACAGACAGCAGGGGGCCGGAGGTCAACAACAACAGCTCCTCCCGTGGCCAGGGTCACAGTCAGAACCGGCCCAAGTCCAGTTCTGCTATCTTCCTGCGGGGGGGCAGCGAGCCGAGCGACACGCACGTTTGAACTCAGACCCCTCACTCAAGACTGAAAAAACAAAAAAAAAAAACAATCAGAGAGCGTTTGGTTTCTGTCTGTCAAGATCTCTGCTCTGAATCAGCAAGAGGAAGCTATGGAGTGTCTTGTGAACAAACAGTCGAGTCTGGTTGTGTACAGTAATTAGGTCTGTCTCGCTCCTGTGTGTCTTTCTGATGATGGCATTGCTTTAAATGGAATCCAGCTATGCAGCATTCTCACCTGCTTCTGTCTCAGTGTTTTATTAATCTTCCTTTGTTGGTTTATTTCACATTTCATCCTCATGAGCATAGCGATCTTTTCAATGGATTTCTTTTTCCGTATGTTGCACTTTGACAAATAAAATCAGTGTTTAGAAGTCCTGTCTGTTGCGACCACGACAAGAAGTGGTCTCTAAACTTTAAAAAAAAGCGATGAAAAACAATCAACACTTCGAGTGTTCTCGCACTTTGCTGTATCAAGCAACGTTCAAGAGAACTGCTCTGTAAAAGAATCGACGGTCTTAAAAGACAGAACAAACTACTTTTTTATTTCCTTGATTTGTATGCAATACATTTTTTTTTGTCTGTTTTGACTATGTATCCATTTTTGTATCATACTTTTTAATTGTGCAATAGGATGTAGCTTTTAGATGCTTTCAATGTTTTATCGCTTCCATTATTTTGTTTGTTGTTTTTATCTCATCATTATTTTTGATATTTTAATCTCGGTTGCACTTATGAATAGTCACAATCGTTTTGTAAACAATCCACCATACACTATCACGCCCCGGCTCAAGAGGAGAAAATGGACGACAATCCTCCGCTCTTTCCTTCTTCTCTGGACTATTTTTAGGGGCGCACAAACACTAACAATCAATCTGACTGGAAAAGTGGGTTTTTGTGAAACTCCTCTGCTTGCACAATTACACCAGGAAAGGCCCAAACTCTGGGGTCTTAATACACTACAATCACCATAATCTAATCTACGGAGGGATCTGTTACAGTGGCCGATGCAATCACTGTACCACTATCACCTGACCTCACTGTGGACTGTGTGTTTATAGCTGTCTCTATGTTACTGAAAGATCAGTCACATTATCAAGTCCCAGATTCTGCTCTTTGAACTCTGTTGGAAATCAGAAACTAGTCTAAAAAACAAAAATACCAAACCCTGCTGAAGCACGCTGGATATTATTTCTGCTTCTTCTTGGTCATCCCTTGATGTTCAAATGACTGATTCAGTGTGTTTGCGTGAGAGAGAGAGAGCAAGTGTGCATGTGTTGTGTTTCTTTATGTCAGTAAGCATTAGCATTGTTGGGGCCTAAGCGCTGTACAGGCGTGCTGAAATGTCATTGTACTCATTCTGTATTTTCAGCGCTGCTTCAGGGCATATGAAAAGATCTCATTTATGTTTTTGTAATCTGTAATTTGTATGAAAAAAAATCATATGTAAGTGTATTGCATTGATATTTGCATCATTTTTATGGAATTCTGTTTTGCATTCAATGGACATGGCCTTTTATTCCATTGCTATGCGTCTGCTCGGTACAGTTTCTGTAAACATTTTCGAGTCAATATGGAAGAAATTCTCAATAAATGTATGAAATAATAATATAAATGGCGAAATCTATTAAGGGCATGTCTCTTACAACGTTTAGCCACTTTATGTTAAAGTATTTGGTATCCTATTAGCTTAGCTTGGGGTAAAATAGGGAGAGAAGTGAACATCTCGGTACAGTTTCTGTAAACATTTTCAAGTCAATATGGAAGAATAAATTCTCAATTAATGTATGAAATGGCATGTCTCATACAACTTAAGGCCCTTCTTGTTCAAGTATGTTAAAGTATTTACTTATGAGCCTAGCTTGGGATAAAATAGGGAAAGAAGTGAACAGCTTACCGGGCTCTTTCCAAAACCTGCACAACCCGCCTCCTTCAAGTAGTACTTGGTTGAATCTGGAAAAAAATAGTAATTTTCTCATTAAGGTTGCCATTTTTAATAAACTTTCTGGACGTTTAAACAAGAGCCTTGTGAAAAAGGAACTTGAAATTGTATTTTCCAGATAAGGGCAAGAGTCAGTATAATTTAATACCATTTGGAAATTAGCTTTTAGCTAAATTAGCATCACATACAGCAGCCGACAAGCCGCAGCAGAGGACTACGGTCTTTTTCTTTAAATATGCTCAAAATAGAAGAAAAAAATATTTTTGTTAACCTGTCACTTTTCACAAGTCACTTTGGGGTCTTCAATCGTTATCGTAAGTTACTAAATTCGACACAAGAGGGAGACATTTCCTGTCCTCCGCTTGTTTACCTCACTCGTCGCCGTCTGCTCTACGCGCCCTAGCAACTGCAGCATCAGCACGAGCAGCGCAGCGATGGTACGCTACGTCACAGCTCTGCTCGCGCTGCGTCAAGTCAGCGAGAGCAAGGCGAGGCGGCACCGGAAACGGACAGACTCGCCTTCAACATAAAATGATAACCGTGGTAGTTTGAGCTTGACTTGGCATACTTGGGATGCTTGTTCAATAAGTTAATGGTAATTAGCGATCACAGATTTAAATGACATACATAAAGTTGTAATCAACATAGCAATATATTTTTGTAAGAGAATCCTAGTTAACTTACCCAGCCCACCTTTCCTCCCCATTTATGTTTTATTTTTGTTTAAAGATAAAGATAAACTTTATTGATCCCCCGTGGGGGAAATTTGTGCATTACAGCAGCTCAAGAAAACAGGGGACGGGAATATACTTATTAAAAATAAAAATAGAAGTTAAAAATCAAATCAAACATATTTACATCAGTTAAATAAAAAAATACAATAATGGAAAAATAATGCTTTGTATTTTATGTTAAAAAAACAAAAACATTCACCTAATCCCCAATGGCCCAATATTTATTATGCAGTCATTTGATTAAACACTTACATTTAAGAATACACAGCATATTTATAAAATATAGAATAATAATGATTAGTGTTACAACAAAATGTCTGCAAGACGAGATAGCTTGGTAGATCCCACCTTAAGGCCTTCAAGATAGCGTTTGATATTGTGAATTAGCGGTAAATTAACCCCTTAACTTTTGATTGACTTTTTACAGTCAAGTTTGGAGCTTATAGCTTCTCTCTTGTCTCTTTATATAGGACCCTAGGGCATGAGCATATTTGATTAGATGAAAACTGCGGTCCTGTACAGCTTGCCGCGGAGTACGTATTTTACTTTGAAAATTACATCCGGAAGTTCCCTGTCTATTCCATTAAACTTCACACTGGTCCCTCTCCCGTCGTGTCAACCGAGGCTAGCCCAGCATCACCGCCTCCTTCTTTCTATCCCTTCTGTATTTTCTGTCCCTTTTGTTATTTTTTCCCGTCGTTTTCCGACACCTTACAATCCACGCCAGGTACACGAGTTATTTTCCTCCTTTGATAATCATTTTTCCCTGACCAAAAAAGCGTTTTGGTAGCTGCTTCAACCACCGTGCCGCATCAGCCGGGAGAGAAAAACATCCATCCACGACGACGAGGAGGCAGGGTGCGAATACAGCAACGCCCATTCAGACATCTACTGTCTCTACACGGTAACCACGAACACGTTTATTTATATTTATATGTATGGTTCTTGTAATATTTGAGGGCTTTCCTCAGTTGTAGCCTGCCCTGCCAGTAAACCGCCTGTTTAGCATCCTCCAGCATCGGCAATATCAACAGCCGGCTGGGGGTGCCCCTTTGCATGCAGCGCACCTAGATCCCATTTCTGCAGGTGAGCGTGTTTTTCTCTCCACACACATCCAGTTACCTGAGCACTGTTAGCATGTCTGATGCTCTTCTGGCTTGTGGAGTTTGTTTTAGGTCATTATTGTCATGGAATATGTTTTTAATGATGATGATGATGATGATGATGATGATGTGTGGGGAGTGGGTGCATGCTATCATTACATTAAACACAATTGGCCTGCATTGTACTTCATAGGCAAATGCATAGAGATGTGACAAATAGTGATAGGTTTTTCTCAAATTAATAAATGATGTTTATCCAGATTTTATGGAATATTCAAATTTATGGCCAACAATGATTTATTTAAACAGTGGCTGCTAAGGCAGATAGTGTGCAAGGGCAGTAGTGTAAATATTGCCTTTGTAACAATAATTTAAAACACTATTTTAGGTGCATTTTACAAAAGCAAAAGTAACAACAGATCACTGGTTCTGTTTTCCACAATGTGAGTATTTTTGTTTTTATCCGTCCACTTGCATATATAAATATAAAGAAGTGTATTCAAAGACAGGCTATCTTTGGGTTTTGTACTGTTGGTTGGATGATATAAGCAATTTGTAGTTTCAAATTGTGGCTTTAAAAGTTGTGTTCATCAACATTTTCATTGTTTTTTTTTTTAATATTCTTTACATCACATTTTCTGGGGGGGGATATCAAAGAACTGTGTTTATTGGTTTTTGCCGCAGCCTGGGTGTCCCACTTTTGTGCATTGCTGATCAATAATTTCTGTGTTATTTTATCGACTTATCTTGGTGAAAGTCATATCACACGGTAACACGTGTAGATCCTAAAAAAAAATGCTTGAAATTGTACTTTTTTTCACCATAGATTGCAACAAGTAAGATGTCTGAATGGCTTAAGAATCATTATTGTGAATTGCCACTACACTAGTACTACTGTTACTACGAACACTGTTACTATTGCTGTCGGTCTGCAGTGCACCGTCGTGGGTGCTGATTTGTGTGCACAGACTGAGACAGGAAAGGCAGCAGTCAAAATAAAGCATTTTGCTAGTCCACTGCTGATGCCCAAACCCCTGTTTACTCATACAGTACACACACAGAGACACACACACACACACACACACACACAAACACACAGGCGGCGGCTGTGTGAAGATCAGTCGGGCCCGTTCCCTAGCAACAGCAATGTGCGCTGGTCAAGGCTCCTGCCAAATTTAGCTCCAGGACCTGCACTGTCAATCAGTCCTGTGTGTTCATCTGTATGGATACATGCTGCATGCACACACTGTGTTGTTATCAGGTCCCTGTGGGTGCACCCATGCTAAAATATAAATATGTTCTTTACCCTGCAAGGTTCTCTGCATTCATTATGCTGAATACCATTGCTATTGTGTGCATGTTTGGCTACATTTATGCTGCACTGGGCGTGCAAAGAAATATCAATACACTGACTAGTCTGTCACAATGTTATACTTTGTGTACCAAATCTCAAAAACACTCCATTTTCAATTATTAATTTGGATCGCAAAGACTTCAATTCTTACTGATGTTAGCCAATGTTAATTCCTTTGCTCAAATTGCACAAAAAAAACGAGTTGAATGTGATAAAGAGAAACACAGATTGTGTAAAAAGGTCAACTTCAAACCATAACCTTGCAAGCTTATTCATATCTCTGTGCTTCATTGTTCCTCTACTGTTGATTCTGTAGGTAACAACTTGATATCAGATTTACCTTTTCAGTCCTTTTCAAAATGTTTCTGTTTCCAAAGCAAAAAGTGCTGTATCTATTTTCAAATTAAATTAAAAAAGTATGACTTGAAATAATGCAGAAGCCTGATTGGTGTGTATTTTGTATTTTAAAGCGTGTGTTAATATTTTCGGGGTGCTACCAATATCTTGAACCTGACAGAACGAACCACCTTAGTTTTGTAGAGCATGCTCTCTGTGAGGGCCCATGGGCGTCAGTGGACCCGTGGGCCCATGCAAAACATGCCTCCACAGCTCTGAATCAGGGTCAGCCGGGCAGAAGCGAGCACCTGCCCTCGGTGCCCCCACCCTACAGTACTTAAGCTGTTTTAATGCCATTAACCAGGGGGCCTGTGGGAGACTTAGAGGGGGCACATCCGCTCCGCCCAGAATGGGACGGATTAACATCAATCTGAGGAACACACACATACACAATAATGCACACATACACACACACACAAAGCTAGACAGACAGAGGAAGCCAGCCATGGGCTTATCCTGCAGGCCAGCTGTGTGTGTTGATTTGTTGATGTGCTTACCATGTGTTGACAAATAAACTTGTTTACATCTCCGTCTCCTCCCTTAGACTGCATCAGTGGCCTTAACCTCCCCACATCTCTCTCCGTGGTCCTCCTCCGCGTCACCCCTCCTCTTCCTGCGAGCGCCTGGCTCTTCATTCTCCTCGCCGCCTCTTGCCATCGCGTCCAGCTGTGGCCCTCGCAGGGCGCGCTCGCTGGCTCTCACCTGCCAGGTCCCTGGCCTCAGGACGACAGCCAGCACCAACACGTTCCCTACATGAGGGACAAAGCCACGCAGGTGAGTGCTGACGACATGTCTGTGTTGGGATGTTGCGATGGGATGTGCATTAATTTGAATGGTCACACAAAATGAAAAAGTTTGTGCAAAGATGGAAAAAATACCTGTTCATTATATTTCCTGGATATATTAAAGCAATCTGGACTAAAGGGGGTTAAAATAAGAATCCATTTCAGATGTACTAAACAGGATTTGTTCTTTTTAACCAAACAGAAAAAAATAGTTGGAATAGACCACAGTATATGATTTCAAATGGAAATCTACAAGAGATGAGTTGATGGTGAAAAAAGAATGTCTACCAGGTTCATCCCTGCATGTTGGGACCAGCCATACACAATTCTTGCAAGATAATGTATGTGGGTTTACAAAGCAGGCAACCAATGCACAGACATTAAGAGGGATTGCAGACAGTTGCATCATCGTGGTGTGCTGCCTATCACTCTGAGACAGATTTGGAAGAACACCGGTCAGATTATAAATTTTTTTTTTTTTTTAAATGCGTCACATAAACTTCTGACGGATGTGTCAAATTGCTCAGGTGTTGTTTTTTGTTCTGTTTTAGTCTTCTAAAGTGAACTTTTCTTTGCTCACACTTGGGTTTGCAATAGTGTTCAAACCATTAACCATTATTGTATAGTGTGTCTCACAACTACTACATGTTTAGACATTTTTGTTAGTTATACACTGTAAAAATGGCAGAGCACAGAGTAAATATACTTCTTTACTAGTGTAATGTATCTTATACTCTTACTATAATGTGAAAATAACTGTATGATAATTAAGTGTTTAAAAAAAGGAAGAAGAAGGCTGCTCTAGAAAAAATAAAAGTACCAATGATACTGTTTATTTGGCTGTTTTGTGGTAGTTTATTTGCCATGTAGCAAACCAATGTGTGTGTATATATGTGTGTGTGTGTTTGTCTGTGTATCAGACCCCCAGGGCCTGGGCAGATGAGAGGAGGAGGGGCTCTCACAAACGCTCGGCCTCCTGTGGGAGCACCGACCAGCTCAAGGAGGTCAGTAAATATCTCTTTTATCCCTTAGTTGGAGCTTTTTCTGACTGTTGTGACGAGACATGTCTGTATATTAATACAAGTCTGCATTATTGTTTCGTTTTCGTCTTCCTTTGAACCGCTACAGATTGCCAAATTGCGTCAGCAGCTTCAACGCAGCAAACGCAGCAGCCGCCATCGGAGGGATAAAGACCGCAAGTCCCCGTTCAATGGCAGCCACACCATCATCCAGTCGCAGGTAATCAGCAAAGAAAGGGGGCTTTAAGGAGTGTGTGTGTGTGTGTGTGTGTGTGTGTGTGTGTGTGTGTGTGTGTGTGTGTTTTCCTGCCAGGTGGCTTCATGTCAGAGAAGGAACTAGGTTGGCACTGGATCTGGAGAATTTTGAGGACGTCCCACTTTTCCTCATGTCCCTGTTTGGCTGTGTCTTACAAATGTCCCTGGTTAATTTCAAGCGTGATTTCTTTTTAACAGCCTCTGGTGTAGGAAAAGTCAGTTAAAGTAGGTTCCTCTCACGCACACACTTGTCTAAGTGCCCACTCCTGTCATGTTTCTGTTATGCTCCCTGTGGAGTCTGCTGGATTGCAGCTGTCCTGCTTTCTGGGCCTCCTCTTGAGACAAAAAGAAAAGAGAGCGAGCCGCCCAGAAAACCTTTGACGAGCTCAATCACAGATGCAAATAGACACCAGACAGCAGGAGCAAACTTGCAAGCCCAAAAGAAAGATGAAGGAGGACACTAACCCTGTTATGTTGTGTTTGTGTCATATGTTTGCAGTCACCTATGCCCAAGACCATCCTGATACCCATTCCTATCTCCAAGTCATCCGCCCCTCGCTTCCGAAACAGCGTGGAGGGCCTGAACCAGGAGATCGAACGCATCACCATCCAAGACACTCCTGAAAAGGAAGAGATCATAGTTGTAAGTTACACTAAAGAAAACTGTGGTGCTTACAGCAACGAATAAAAAGCCCCTGTCACGACTTCTTTTCTTTTTGTCATGAGGCTAGACCGCCTTGTGTTTGTGTATTTAATACTTCAATATACACAAACTTTGGAAACACAAGTCAAGATACAAGATTGTATCTGCTTCACAATTGTTTGTTCTCTTCTGACGCGGCAGAGTTTCAGTGTTTTGTTTTTTTGAAAGGTAAAATTGGCAGCTGTTCAGGGTGCAAAACTAAATGTAACTATGACAGTATGGGAGGATTAGGGCTTTCAACTAAATGAAAAGGAAAACAGAGATGAAGGTGAGATATTATTTGCAAAAGAAGGTCTTTGTGAATCAGGGAAATACTTCAAATTTCAAGGCTCATTTTGCTCCCTTTCAACCAGCTGTTAAAGCACAACTGCCCCTCCCTTTGCATGTCATACAGCTGCTTTATCTGGTTAGCAAAATTGTTCGATTAAGCTTATCCAAATATAAAACTAGCCATTTGATTATTCCACATACCGCTTTTCTGCCACTCTAAATCACAGGAGGGGAACTGCAGCCATTTCTAGTCGTATTTAATGTTTTTTTCCTTCACTAGAGTAATTCAAAATCAAGTTTGTTTTAAGAGCTCACACATAACCAGTGGTGGGGGTTTAAGCCCCCGATGCATCGTTGTTTTTGTGACCTCATTTGTGTCTCTGTACGACAGCCACAGGATGTCCCAGATGGGCACCGTGCACCCCCACCCGTCCCCCCGCAGCGCAGCAGCAGTACCCGCAGCATTGACACGCAGACCCCCTCCGGAGGCGGCCTGAGCGGTAACCACAGCAACTGCAGCAGCCGTCCCGACTCCATCTCGCCCTCCTACCTCACCGTCCTCAACGACATGAGTGGAGGCAGCCCCTACGAGGACAAAGGTGACAGACGCACGCTACACGATCTCCCACATGGATCATTTTCCATGTGCCTCTCTGAGCCTGATCTGTTGTTGACTCTGAACTTTGACCTCCTGTCTCCCCTCTGTGTGTTCTCAGAGCTGGGCCCTTACTCCCCTCTGCCAAAATACGCCGCCTCTCCCCGACCCAACAACAGCTACATGTTCAAGAGGGAACCTCCAGAGGGCTGTGAGAAGGTCAAAGTGTTCGAGGAGTCCATGTGAGTAAAAATCTTTTTTAGACCATGAAAATAAACATTCACACTGTCCTTTAAATGCTGTGAATACCTCTTACAGCTGACATAATCAATACTTTATTAGTGGATCGACGCAATACTTGTGTGAAAAGTGTCATGTCCAGAGAGAAAAATCAACAACTCTGTGCCTCTTTGGAGCCTCTTAGTGTCATAGCTCATTTTTTTAAGCCTTCTGGCCCACAAATGTAATTTTTTTGATTCCCTCTTTTTTCTCTCGTGTATGAGTTTTTTTAATCAGTAAATAATCCCTGTTCACTTAATGCCCAGCACCAATCAATAGAAAGACACTATTAGCTCTGAGCTGGTTAACATAGCGGTGCATTGGAAGCTTAAGAGCTAGATATTACTTGTGATAAGTCATTGAAGTAAATATTGAACTTATAGTCATCAAATTGACAAAATCATGACTCCAAATAAATGCCAATGTCACCCTGTGTGTGCTGTATTAGTAAATAAGCTGTTGGATACCAATAATTTAGCCATAACTTACCATTGAAACATTGACTGAATCACTTAGCCTATCTCTTAGAGGAAAAATACTTTTAATTTCTGGTATTGTTTTATTGTTAACTAGATCAGATGAATTTAGCTTCATATATAATTTTGCCAGCCTTTTTATAACTTAATTTCCTTTTACTACAGCTCCTCTAGTCCAGGGGAAACTACCACCAGTACATCTTTTAAGACTGTGTCCCTGTGTGTGTTTTTTCCAGTCCCAAGCCTCTACAGGAGATCCCTCCCTTCCTGTGTCCCGACCGCAACAAGGTCAACTTCATCCCAAACAGCGGCTCTGCCTTCTGCCTCGTCAGCATCCTCAAGCCCTTACTCCCCGCCCCGGACCTCAACTTCCGCTCCGGGGTGGGCCTACGAAGCCTGTCCCCTTCCCTCGTGCCTCTGTCCACCCAGCCCTGCCTCCTGGAGGAGCCCGAGAGCTTCTGATGCCCCCCCCCCTCACCCCCCCTTCAAAATCTCCCCCTTCAAAATCAGAAAACACTGGAAACAACCCTTCTGCTCCAAAACAAATGCCTTCAGCATGCCAGCTAAGCTCTCTCTGATGTCTTTCTCTTGTTGAAAAAGCGCTTCCCACTGCCTCTCCTCCTCAGACGACTACAACGTGAGAGTCCTGCAGCGCCGCACGGGTGTTTGCAGCTAACATTTCATCGCTTTCTTCTACCTTTAGTGCTGGTTATGTTCCTGTTTTTTAGGAGGAAAAGGGCGAAAAAAAAGGACAGACTCTTTATTTCATCGTATTATACCATGGCGCCTTTCCACGGACATATCTCTTTTTCTATCTGTAGTTATTTCTCTTGATATAAAATATGCCTTCCATTAAGAAAAAAAAAGGCCGCTGGGTTTTTTTGGCGACCAAGAGTTTGACCATGGAAGCTAATATTGGTGCTGCCAGATTTATCGTAGCAAAACTTGAACGGTCGTGACAAGGAGAAGTAAAAAAAAAAAAAAAAAAAAAAAATGTGCCTGATATTTTAGACCGATCAGTTTCGCTAAACCGGCGTAATGCTTGGATCATGTTTGTTTCTTTAGCATGACTCACATGATTTCTGCACTACGGCGGCCTTAGATACTCACAGAAAGGCAGGGACCTATTAAGACCACCTGTGAACTAAATCCAGACATCTGTTTTGTACTTTCTCAGAAATTTGGGAGTCAAATTTGACTGTAATCTGGTACAAAGTGATGATGCCTTTTTACACCAAATGGTAGCAGTGAATCAGTCCCCTGCCAGTCAGTGTGCATCTATGGGAAACACAGGCCAGGGCTATGATGTGTGCAGCGTTTTCAACCCGTGTCTGCCGGCCCCTTCTTTACCAAGCGCCAACCTTTTTTAGCTCAAAATGTCCCTTTTTTTACACCACCTCTATCGCACCCTCCCTACCTTCTGTTTTTCCAGCTCTTTCTCTCCTGTTTTTCTCCCTCACTGTCACTGTAATGATCATTCCCTTCTGTCTTGCTCAGTGTTGTTGTAAGATGTGTCCAGAGAGGCCTTGTCCTCACAGGACAGGCTCCTTCTGGCTTGCAGGGCCCTGAGCATGGAGAGGTTGTTGAATCCAAATACTACACTGTCAAAGAACAAGGGTAGATCTGGGGCTAAACATCAGATCTTAGCTACCTACTCCTTTCATTGCTAAGATGTGCATCTCCTGCCCTGAATTTTAGGTATAAAATCAGAGCATTATCTTTAAAGTGATGCATTTCCTCTTGTTTTAAAGCCGCAACGTTGCAGTTTTGATTCACCTCTGTGGATCTGACCAACCTAACCTCCAGACAAAACATGCAGTTTATAGCAACGCCCAAATGTTTCTCACAGGAGCTTTAACTTGGATTGGTGCACAGAGGTACATGATAGTACTTTTTCCCAAACCAAGCCTCACAAATCTCACATGTGGAACCCTGAATTGTGTTATTTATTTCTCTCAATTTATAGTGGGAAGCTAAATGAGAAAATCAGGGCCTTTAAAAGGATTGCATTTTTGTTTTGAGTAATTTGACAGTTTAGTTCTCCCAAAAGAAAATGCAGAATCCTTTTTTTACCTTTGCCTAAAAATGTTTTGAATTGAAAATGTCTGAAAGGAAACATGTTTGACTCACACATATGATAAGCAGTAGTCTGATCCCTCTCAGTGTAGTATGTTGCTTACCTTCCTCTCCATGCCTCGACCCATCCTCCTGTATATGTCACTACTACTTGACTGTGCCTGCTACGGTGGGATAGGAATGTACTGGATCTGTAAATATAGAGGCACACTGTGTTTGTATTATCGGCTGACAAAGATATGTATCTGAATGAGTTAACAATTGTACCATATGGCTCCTACTCCTCCTCCTCCTATTCCTGCTTTCTCTCCGCTGAGTACTGTGAATTACATGTCTCATTATTGTGAATAATGTATTTATTTATCAGGAGTGTAATTTGGTGTGCAGAGAATTTTAATCCAGAATAGATTACATCGTCCATCTCAGGTTGTAGTGAATAGGATACAAAGAGAAAAGATATACTTACTTCTCAGCGCACACTAACAAGTCTACACTACTTCAAAGAGAGCAAACCAACAGCTGCTATCTATGTAGCCTCCTCACACAAAGGAACATGTGACTGACGTTAACCTGTAGCAGAGTAAAAGTAGAGAGAAGTGTGGATGTTATTTATCCAGTGACCTGATTTGGCATGTTTCTAAAAACTATCTGTTTTAAAAATGGGATATCCACTTGCTGAAAAACAATCACACACACAGAGCGACATGTTCTTCTTTGTCGTTTTTAGATGTCTGTTTACAAGAAGAAAAAATAGTTTCAGAGTAGATTCATACATGTGAGAGAATACAGATTTATTTCAGATACCAGTTGTTTTTTGTTCAAAGTGGATGATTAAAGCATTTTGGAATGAGGCTCAAAACAAGACAACACAAATGTTCTTTGTTTGCTTGTCCAGTTTATTGGAAACAGAACTGCCGAGTTTTCATCTGTTAAACCCCTCGAGTGAAATAAAAAGGCATAGTTGAATTAAATAAAGCGTTTGTGATTGACTTCAGAGATACATTCTTGTTTTTGTTTTTTTAAGTTTGTAAATTAAGAATAAACAATATAATACATGGTTTAAGTCTCCCTTGTTACCACTGCACAAGGATCAGAAGTTTCTTTCTTTAAAAAAATCTGAATGTCACAAAAACAAAACAAAGAAACAGTCAAAGAAATGATAGATGCTGTGATATTTGCAGCTCACATAAAAGGTGTTTTATGAGTTGTCAGACTCAGAAAACACGTCACATAAATGTCAAAACTGATGATTTGGTTTCAGTTGGTGCACACGGATGTGGTATTCACATAATCCAGATAAATGGTTCATAAAACTCTTCAATATGCACCCTTACACTCAATCAAACTTAGCATTCAAAACTGTCCATCATGGTTGTTTATTTCCCCTCAAAACACGAGCTGAATTTAAATCCAGTTTGCAACATGGTAACAGCTCTCCACTGTTGATTCAATTCCCATATAATAATATATTTCCAAAATCTGGGAATTCTCAAAATACACAACGCAAAGAGCAGAAAATAGACAATATTTTAGTGTTTATATCATGTAATTTTCAGTGTACTGCACAACTAAAACATAATCAGTAGTATATTCATATCATTTGTTAATAAATACATAGGTGCTGTTGCTCACAGATTATTCAACATAAATAACCCACCCATCCAGAATATTATTCTTATGTCCTACTTTCTAACTTCTTCAAAATATGTTTTTATCCTTCACATATTTTCCTTGGCTTTTGACTTCAGATTGTGAAATCGGAGTAACAGATGGGAAAGAAGATTTCATATACATACAATCTTTTGCACACACCACATTCAGCAAGAAAGCTATGGGATAAAGGTGGAGGGGTCTGTTGGTTACAAAAACATCCAAAGAGTTTGGACAGTGTGTGTCTGTAATCAGACTCAAGGCTTCAGGCAAATATAATGACGCCAATCACAGTTCCCTTTAGACTCAACCTCCTGACAGAAATCACAGAATTTCACTACACATTCAAGATACCAAGCTGTGCAGAGTCTGTATCACAAAGCAGTATTTATGACCTGCATCACTGATCCTAACAGGTACATATACTGTAAAAACCTTTCATGAAGATGAAGAAAATAAGAAACATCAGATAAAAAGTGTGGTATTTTAAATGGTTAAGGAATAAGTGGAAGATTTCTAAAGCCCTAAAATCCCACATTAATTAATTTGTGAGGATTTGTAGTATGAAATTGTGTGGGAATAATCAGCCTTTATTAAAAAAATACAGCTTGCATTTGCATCTTTCCACAGATAATCCATTTACCGAGCAAAGGGACATTTAGATGGATAAAGTTGTGACTGCAGCCAGAATAAGTCTGATAAAGTCTACCAGCATGAACTGTTAAAGTGCAGGTAATAAATAATAACACCTGTTTAGCAGCAGTGTGTTAGGAAAGTTACTGAGCATGTTAGTTCAGCTGTTAGCAATTAGCTGAAGTTCACACTATAAGCTAGCTTTCTCTGGTTAAATGTGATAGCACTTTTAGTGATGATATTCATGTTTTTGATAAAAGTATAACCTAACCCTGCCAGGTTATGTACATGATGATAGTGACTCACAAGCTCAGTACAGAGATAGATGACAAACTATTGACATTTGCGTCTAGAGAAGAAATAATTGTTTTAAACTTAGCATGCTAACGAAGACGGTTAAATTTGGTGTTGGCATGTTTATCATTAGAAGTTAAAGCCTATAGACATTTATATAAGCATATTATATAGTCTATAGACATTTAGCCACTTACTATGTAAATGATATTTTTCCATGTCATTAACACTATCAAACTGTAACTTTGGCTAGGACATGGCTGTATGCTAATGTCAGCTGTTGTCAGCATTACATTGTTGGTTATCAAATATGTGTCTCTAAATTGTCATTATCCATATTTATATTAAAGACAGATAAGGATGCGATCAAATTTCAACTACTTCTTACATGTATACGACTTGAAACCATCACAGGTGACCAGAAAGGGATCCTGAAACCAGAGATTAATTAAAAATGAAACCTAATAACATCGCCAACTTATCTTGCTTTGTGATACAGGGCCATGGTGTAAAACTTCATCTGCTGCTGTGTGCAAATACCGGCTCAGTGACAGGCCTGTCTTATTTCAAACATACACTGTGTCCAGTATATACTCCTCATACGTGCATCCATGTAAAAACAACACTGCACTAGATAGATAGATATTTTCCTTACAACCTGGGTCCCTTTTTTGTGCACACACAGCAAACCAACACACACCCAGACAATGCAAACTATGAACTAAACACAGAAAAACACACAAGGCTGTCCAAAATAAACCAGTAATCAAAATGTTCTCTCCACGTGAGAGAATATGATGTCACGACAAGTAACAGAAGCCACACGAGGTCTTCTGTGTGCATATGAGCCGCTGGCTTCATGTGTAGTGTTAACAGTCTTTATACAGAGCGATTCACAATCAACTGACAGTGTTTTTCTTTTCCAGTGTGAAACCGTATATTACAGTGTAACACAAATACCAGTGTGTATTTGCAAGTGTGGACGCACATCTCTCCTGCAGACAGAAATGCAGGGGTATATTTGTGCAGGTATTTAACTGTTAAAGTGTGTTCTATTACTTGGTCGTCGACATGAACACTTATTGACATCCAGATTCTCCAAAGGAAATCACACACTGTCGCACGCTCACACACACACACACACACACACACAAATGGAGCTTTAAGCATTGAGCAGCTCGTCCGCAGATCGTCCAATGGCATCTGGGTTTGAGAGGGGGTCCAGGTCCGCGAAGAGGTTGAACCAGGCCGACATGTCTTTAGAGCTACATGGAGCGGCTGACACAAACACACAAAAATATCATCAGAAAAAAAAGGTTAAGATGTTTAAAAATGTGGTCCAAATTTAAGACGTGTTCAGAAGATGTACACATGATAATCCTTGGTGGATAATTTGTTACAGTGGTGAGTATGCTTCTTATTATCTGCAAATGGTTCTGGTAGAGGTGAAGTGCATGCTGGGATAATATCAAATGTATTATAAGAGCTTATATAATAAATTTGCCATGCCAGTTCATCAGTTTCTCTGTAAGGTGTTAAGTGGCAGTGAATTTCTTTAACAGTAATTTAAAAAAAGATATAGATCCATATAAAAATGGTTTACCACTGGCTGCTGAACTTGGAGCAGGTGGAGTTGAATGGCTCTGTCCGGGAGGAGGCTGCAGGGGCGGGGCTTGGAACATAGGTGGGGTTGACCATCCTGCAAAACAAAAACAGAGTAACAAAAATCACTTACGTCCCTTTCAATGTCCCGCAGTGAGCTCTTCTGTCCAGCAGAGTGCAGTGTGGCTCACCTGTAGAGCTCAGGCTGTGATCCAGCAGATGGGAAGGCAGGAAACCTGTGGGGCTGGGGGGGTTGGAGGTAGGGCGAGCTACCGGCCCGCTACTCGCTGCACCTGTGATTGACTGAGGCGTGCTGGGTGGGTCGAACATCCCAAAAGCATTTGCCACTCTTGGCTGAACTCATCGCTGGACCCGGGGCCCGGGCTGAGCAGGTCTTTGAGGAAAGCCATGTCGCCCCGTTCAGCGTCTTCCTCCTCAGGCCTCAGGCTTGTCATGGAGAGGGGGGGCAGACCTCCTGAGAGCAAAAAGAAAGAGAGGCATGTTGTATTAGTCAAAAGGCAAAAGCTTCAAAGTTCGTGCAAAAAGGTACAATGTGTCAGTGCAGCTTGTTGCAGAGATACTGCTGCTGAAGAAATATAAACAAAAGTAGGAAAGTGTTGCACAGTTTCTTTTATTCTAAGCAAAGAAAATGACTTCATGTCATGTTAGCTGAAGAAAGGTCAAGAGAATAAAATGCTTAGATGTATTTTGTAACCTTCTTTGCAGTATATATGCTAAGCTATGCTAACAGGCTAAAACTATATATCTACCATAGAGACCTGAGAGTGGTACCAGTATTCTAATTAACACATTTGTAAGGGAAAAAATTGGTCCAACATATTTAAATTCTCTTCAGAGATGAGTCTCAGAAGAGGTTTAAAGCTATTTTTAAATTTCCTGCGTACAACTGACAATGAAAAAGTTTTCAAAAAATAACCCCCTCCCTATATAGAAATAATTAATATTTTATTTGACAGGTCATAGAGAGACATCGGTGTTCAATTCAGTGTGTTTCATGATGAGATAAAAACTCCTCCCAGGAGCTTTAACATAAAGCGCAACACTCTAATGGTCAGTAAAGGCAGCCCAGACTATCAAAGAGGAGAGTCTCAGAGATGAATTAAGGGGGAAACAAAGCCCCTTTGTATGAGCCGGGTAGACTGAATCCAAAATGCATAGGGAAGCAGAGTTGAAATCCCAGAAGAGCTGAGTTTGTGCCACAACCAAGCAAAGTAAGATGGGAAAGGTGAGACTAGCGAGGAATCTTAAAGTAGGAGAATTAAGAGACAGCCGGTCAGTTGTTTACCAGTGGCAGGCCTCTGTGAGAGGCTGGACTGGAGGTCTCCAAAGTCCCAGGGCTGACTGGAGTCTCCAACCTCAAGTGGAGGCAGAAGCTGGGGCTGAGGCTCTGGCAGATCACAGGCCATGAGCAAGAGGTCATCGTCAGAGTTTGCTGAGAGTCCTCTGAGGTTTTGCAGGGATGGAGTGGTGGGTTTGGGGGTGTTTGGGTGCACTGGGATCGAGGATAAGCAAGCCAAGAGGCACACGTTGCACGGTAAGCTACAGATATACTAAAAGAACGTGTAGAATATACAAAATAGGCACTTTTACACAAAAACTTACCAATGTCTCTCTGTCCATCACTGCTGTTGGCAGGGTCTGCAGAGGAGAGAACATCAAAACAATTGTGAGTTTTAATTGAATAAAATGGCTTTTAAGGGAAACATCTGCACAAATAACAAGAGCCGCATTTGACATTTTCTTATTTTTATTCAAGAATTTAGCCAAT